AAGCAGGTCCAAGTCGTGCGATGCACTGGTACTCTGCCGACGGTCAGGGAAGTGTGACAGACGCAGGAATTCGGGGCACAGACTATGACCAGATGTGTGGCAATGCGGTTATGTTTGATGCAGCTAAGGGAAAGATCCTCACATTTGGAGGGTCTCCTAATTACGAGGATTCCACGGCTACAAACAATGCATCTCTCATTACTATCAGTGACCCTAATACCATGCCAGAGGTCGTCAAAGCTGGTGAAGATATGCACTATAGCCGCACTTTCCATACTTCAGTTGTCTTGCCTGATGGAAGCATCTTTATTACCGGTGGTCAGGCACATGGGCTCCCATTCAATGAAAGCACCCCACAATTGACACCAGAGCGTTATATTCCGGCAGATAACAAGTTTATCGACCACTTTCCTAACAATATCATCCGAGTGTACCATAGCTGGTCTCTCCTGCTTCCAGACGCTACAGTGATCAACGGTGGTGGCGGGCTCTGCGCCAACTGCTCGGCCAACCATTATAATGCACAGATCTTCAAACCTCCGTATTTATTCGACAACAACGGAGGGATGGCTTCGCGCCCGGTAATTCAGAGTGCCACACCTAACGCTAAATATGGCGCCCAAATTACACTCGTGGTCGATGCGCCCATCTCTGGTGCCTCCTTGATTCGTTACGGCTCCACTACACACACCGTGAACACTGATCAGCGTCGAATAGAGCTAGAGCTCCAACCCGCTGGTACCAATACGTACATTGCAATTATCCCGAATGATCCTGGTATTGCGCTTCCCGGCTACTATATGCTGTTTGCTCTGGATCAAAATGGAGTTCCTAGCGTTTCAAAGAATGTCCAGCTTACGGTGTAGGTAAGAAGGGGATAATATACATTGCAGGAGGTTGACAGAGGTTGGTGGACTCGCTTAAGGAACGAGACACGCGAATCTAAAACACAAAATGTCTTGAGTTTGCAGCGGTGGCTATTTCATGTCGTAGCCTCTTCTGAGGGGAGACTTTATCAAAGACGATTGGATCTATATGCTTAGATGATTCAAGGCCCCCTACATCTGAAACTATGTTTGTCTCCTCGGGACCCCGAAACCGGAAGTTGTTGGGAGAATCCCTTGGCGGATCTTTGCGCCCAAAAGGCTCCTCGTAGTCGCCGGCATTTTAGTCCGCGCCTGGGTTGAGGCCCTGATCAATCAGCAGCACTGGTTGCCGGCGGCACGGTGGGATGTGATATACTATATGCCAATCAGCACTGTTTTCTAAAAGGCACGCAGGTCAAGGGTGCGATGGTGTCCCAGTTGAGTCGCAGCGACATAATTTGGCCGCATGTAAGCAAGTATTACCAACGCGGCCAAAAACTACACCATATCAGGGACGATGACAAGTGTGAATCCCGCCAGAAACGGTGGTCCACGCCCTAGTGGACTGTAGTGGACTGCCCAATATAACAGGCCCTACAGCACAAACTACGGAGGCAGATCGGGACTGCATTTAATGATATTTTAGGTATGCTAGAAGGAGGATCTCAAAATAAGGAAGGGTAAGAAGGATGATATGCAAGGCAGTAGCATCTTAGGTTCTTTACCGGACTTCGCAGAGGCATCACAGAGGTTTCAAAGCCGCGCGCCACGGTGCCGCTGAACAGAACATTAGGCAGATCGGCCATCGCAGGCCATGACGAGACTCCAAATTCGTCGAAAAGTAATGGTCACGGTACGTAGACACACGGAAGGAGTAGATAGTTGTATCCTGCATATCGACTAGGCAGTTGAGACTTAGGATTGAGCTGCCCTCCTTCTGCCTGCAGTGGTGGCAGCCTAACAGCCACTACAGTATCTGACTATCTGTGAAGCGATGGATGCTCATCTATTGGATGGTACCCGGGACGGGACCAGACAACTATCTAATGATGACTAAGCGAGGGAGCTAAGCCACAGGGGACGGCATCACATTCCCGGGTTACAGTTCAGCAAGATCTAGGAAAAGTTCGACCAGGTCTTGGGATATCTAGGGTAATATGAGACCTTGATCCGCGAGCCTCCCTGTCCAATCGACATTTGTTTCACGCCCTTTGTTGCTTCGGATCCTGTCTGTTCCGCCAAAGATTAATTTGGGTTGGCGAGCCAATTATGGCGAACCAGAACCGAGAGCCCCACCCGGGGCCCTCGGCCTTTGAGCGCTTGAGGTAGCCGCACCTGCCACATTGGCGTGAACCAGGCGTAGAAGATTTATGGTTGATCTATCGATTTCGATGGGGTATCATCTTTGAATGTTGCCCAAATTCCTACAGTGTCACGCCCACGAAAGTCAGCAAGAGAAAAAGCAAAAAGTACGGCGTATCGAAACGATCGCTGCGCAGCCATTGGCTGCTGAAGATCACCCCCAGCCCTCTTTTCTTGCACCTCCAATGGCCTTTCGAAAATAGCTAGATTGCTCATGACCTCTTCTGGCCAGCCAACCGATAATTTCTATCTCAATCCACGAACTGCTGTCGAGAATGGTTGTCTTGATTCTCCAGTGTACGCTGATTGCCTCCTGCCCCGTCATGGCTCTAGTGCGACCTCAGCATTGAGTTGCCCTTCGCCTTTTGTATGTGCTAAGTGTTCTATCCATATTGCCGGATGTAACTTGTTCCACCATGGGGCCTGGACGAGCTGAAGCTAAGATTGGTGGAGAAGGAAGAGACTAAATTTGAATGGCTGACCAGGTCTCGGATGCTCGGAACGGACCAATGGGAAGCGCTCCAGAAGACTAATGCGCGCATAATGCGGCGAATCCGCTTGGGGACAGGGACTCGGAGGGTTGGCCGCGTCAGACCAAGCAAGGTAATAATATCATAAAGAAACTGAAAGACGAAGCTTCTGGAATTCGTATCTATCTAGCTACTCGGGGGAGAAAGGAGGGGTGGTCAGGCTATCTGGCGCAGCCTAGCAAATAGCCCTCGGGTCATCGTACGGCCGTCTGACAGCAGGCAGAACCTCTGAGATAATATATTTGCTAACCCGAGTCCGATGAGATCCTCTCCGGTCGATCCCTCGAACCAGCTGTACACCGGAGGTACTCTGTGAGCGAACTAAGATTTGGTCGACGAAGGCGATATAACGACTCGGACAACCCATCAGTGTCCACTGGGCGCCTCCGGGCGGCCCCATTGCGGGACGGCCCGAAACACGTGTCCCTGAGCCGCCTTGACCGCGACGAACACGAAAACTCACCACCACGGATAAGACCAAAACGGGTGACCAGACCACCGAAAATACACTCCGGAACAGGGAAATGAAGCTGGGAGAAATAACGCGCGTTCCCCGCGGGGAAGAAAGACCCAAGGCAGACTGAAAGCCAAAGTGACACGCCAACAGGATATGAAGCACCACCTCCAGAACATACTATGACAGCTAGTGAGGACTGCAAGACACACAAGCTGCTTGCAAAGCTCGCAAATCTCAGGAGAGAGATCGGGAAATGCGATGAACTGTACAGAGATAAGCTATAGAAGGTCAAGGCTGAGTTTAGAGCAGCCTTAGCCAAGGTCGACAGGAACTAGAAGACCTGAACTGTATACGCAGCTGCTACGCGAACGCTCTCAATTACTCCAATTTCAGACGTTCTCCGTAGGTGTGATTTGCCAATGCTTCCCTGTATGATCCCTATTGCCCACGAAGAGCTCGTGTGTATCCGCATATGTGTCAAGATGCAGCTCGGGGCCTGAATACGCGTTGCTCAACTTCCATGTGCCATCACCCCAGCTCCCGACTGTCCACTCCTGTCCTGAGTGATTACCTTCTGCTGCTAGGTGAGGTTTGGTTTTATCATTTCTATACACGTCCAGAACCCTGTTTTCGCTGAGAAACACTGTACAGCTTGAAGGTCCCAGACGGCTGGAGAATGAATCTCCAGTACTGGTTGTTGTAATTTCCCGAAGGTGCTATTTTTAAGAGCCATTCTCTGTTGCCTGGACGATCGTTTTCCACATCAAGGGCTGTGGAGTTACCAAGATAGGCGTTTGTGAGTCGGTACCAGGTGTTATGGTTAGGAGCAAAGGAAGCGGCCACGGTTCTGTGGAAGAGAGGAGAGGTTAAATTCTTATGTAGATTCACCCATGCATGCCTGGTATACCTGTCACATCTTGCTGACCCCCGCTCGCTCACTGTGTCTAAATATGCTCAACCGCTGGAGTATGGCCTCTCACGTGATATATTCTTTGATGAATGTAGTGCAGATGCATAAACCTGATAAGGGAAGTCAAATTGACTGTGCAATAACGGTGGTCAACGAAGCAAATCTAGCCCTGACTTCTGAATACTGATGTTCATACACCGGGCGCACGGATTCTTGATCTTAAAGAGGTCGTTAAAGCTTGAACTGCAGGATAAACAGACATTGGATACATCTTTAGCCATAGTGGTGCTGTTAAATATAGTTGAAGCTGCGATGCCCTGGCAGTTGGGATCGGTCCAGGTGACGATCCCATTGATTACGTATGGATCGGGCACATAATCCATAATGTAACTAGCTAGTCGGGTGAAGTTACAGATACACAGATGAACGGTGAGGAGGGCCGGTCGGTCAAGTAAAGCCTCGATGGCGGAAAATCTGTTTGAATTTTGGGGAAAGTGCATTCACATGCTGCATTGCGGAACGAGAAAGTGGATGTTTGGATCGCTTTACGAATTGAGCAGACTGGAGTAATTTAAATTGCCGTGTTCCGCTAATCTCACGATAAGAATATTTGTTACATTGGGTACAAAGAATAAACAAAAGCCAAATGAGGCAGCGGGGCGCAAAGCAGGAAATCTCCGTCGACGTAAGGGTGTCCTGCGAAGCCCTGGCTGTATTCTGCTCGGCGTATATAAAGCTCGCTATTGGGTGGCATTGCTAGAATAGTAGATGTACATACTCTCGAGATGCTCCGGCCTGCTGAGTTCCCCGAGCAATTTTAAAAGTCCTTTTCCCCTCTGTGCCGATAGATCCTAGTGGCAAGCCATGAGCTAGATTTAGATGCGATTTGCTGTAGTACTGGACCAACTGTTCACGGCACTAAATAACTTTTTGAAATCTTCTCGCGCCCTCAGGCACTGATGTAGGTCGGGGCCATTGAAAGTTGCAAGCTGATAACCCCCCGGAGGGTGAGAGTGGTGTCGAGCTGGTACGCCCTCAGTGAAGGGCATTTGCACGCTGTACAGGGAGCGACTAGAGCGAATGGCCTCGACGAGCGACTTCTCGGGCTTTGCAAACGACTCTGCTTTGGGGGTGCCAAACAAGACAACGCTGAATCCTTGAGTGTCATTCCTCACCATTTCGTCAGTCGGACACCATTTCCCTTGATATAACCCAACCACGGCATCCAGAAACCCGCGCGGATATAGGTCGGGCCATTGGTTGGAGAAGCGCAGGTGCATCTCGATAATCCGTCCACCAATCATCTCGGCGTTGAGCATACCTGTGTAGTCTGACAAGTGTAGCTCTACAAAATCCACGAGTGCGCTCTCGTCCTGCTGCGATACAGTGACATTGACTTCCCATCTATCGAACGTGCCCCCGCCAGACGGAATGCCCAGCGTGTGAGACAGCCAGACCACTTTGCCGTTGAGAACCGCCAAATCAGTGCTGATGTGGTCACCTTGAAGAAGCTCTGACCACATATGCCCTGACGAGCAGTGCTCATGATAGTCTTCCATGTCTTCAAGGACTCTGGCTCCTGATCCAAGGTTTCTGATGTTGTAAATCGGCTTGCTGAAGATAGGAAATTTGCCAGGTGCCACTCCATGTGGTGCACACACCATTCCCTGCTTCTCTGCGATCTCTAACTTGTTGTACACCCATCTGTGCGCTGGATTCAGGCGATACGCGTTGTAGTCTTTCAAAGGAATGACTACATGCTTGGGGCACTCGGTGCTACTGTAGAACTGTCTTTTCCAGGGCTCCTGCGTTTCGAAAGGCATAGCGTTCGATCAGCTCAGTTGGGTTTCGGTATCACGAACTTAGGATAAAAAACAGTTAACCAGCATACTGGATATTGCAGTGGAGTGGACATGAGAAAACATACAGCTTGGGATGGCTGTGTTTGTGTTGCATATACAGAAGACTGCGCCCTCAGAATGTTCAGGTGAGAGCAACTTTTGCTGTAAAGTTTATATGCCGCCAAATTAGTTCAAAGGGTGTTATACACCGACTGGGGAGACATACAGCGTACGGTACTTGTCTGCACATAGAACTCCTCTGGCTGCTCTCGCTGAGCAGAGTGATGTTGCATTGCCAGCAAATGTACAATATGGTTGGTAACAATTCAATTGGCTCGCTTTCGATGTGGCGTGAAGTAACTGTAAATACCAATCACAGCATGAAATTCTATGATGAATATACTTTACTAGATGACCTAGTGAAGGGATAGATGACGACCGGATTGCCGCAGGCGGAAAATATTTATGACATATCAATTTTTATTAAACAGCATTCCATTTCCGTCTAGTGTTACATTATACATCATGCCTTGCTTGAGTAGGAATGTGGTAACTACATTCCGACTGCAGCGGGATTGCGTTTTCTTCAAATTAAATCACTACACACCAATGGAGCCACGAAATTAGTAGCCCAGCATGTTATCAATCTCCGTCTGGGCGTTTCTAGCCCGTCCATGCGACCGCAACCGCCACTGGATTATTTGTCAGAGATCGAGGCCTGGTAGAGTACTGGAGTTACAGTGGAATAAGCTTACATAATACCTATCATGTCTCAGCGGGTCTGTAAAAGACTATTCCTTTGGGGTTCAATGCCGCGTACGACCAGTGGCACAACGGAGAATGCCGTAGTGGTACTCAAAAGATCTGATGGAGGGGCGGTAGCAGCCAACTAATCAGCTTCTCGATCGATTATTTGATATGCACGCTCACAAAGACGGCGTTGGTTCCATTGCTCACACCCGCAATTGTAACAAAATTGGGCACCACACCTCCGTAGAGATAGGTAATTTAGGCGGTGGAGGAGAGGTGTTGGGGTGGTGCAAGGGTCACGAACGTCATATGATTGCAACATGATCCAGTACCACTATACCACCATTCGCCAGCACAAATAGCAGCATTACCATCCATTTGCATGGCAGTGTGATTTGGACAGTCGCCCGTGTGTGCTCGCGCTTTGTAGTTTGTACAAATAGCATGCCCGCAATTAGGACATGTAGCTACTTCACAGTCGATATGAGATGCTTTGATGGATGCACCACAATCGGGAAAGTAGCAGAGAAATATGTGAGCTACGTTCATATTGTAGGCAGCATCACGGAAGGAATCAGGATTCATTTGTCAGTGAAGCTTTGAAAAGTTCCTCCAAACACAAATGTCAATACTCGTATGTTGTAGTACCCCGTCCATACCGGACATGTAACGTAATCCACCACTAGAGTTGCATAACTGAACTGCTGAATCGAATCCGACCCTCACCGAACTCACAGCKGTGAGGTTTCGGTTCCTAGCCTAGGGAATCACTTCAGTTTTAGCTTAGGTAGGGTGAAACTGATTTAAGTTCAGTTAAAACTATTAGTTATAGTTTTTAAGGATTTATTAGATTAGGTTCACCAAACCTCACTATTTTGCTTAGTAGTCACTAAATTCTAGGATTTCTCTAGAAATATTGATATCACTAGATAGCCTAGTATGTAGTCTATTTAAATATGAAATATTAATTCAAAATATCTAGTGGTTGGTGAGATATAAGAGAATAATTATTTCTACAAGGGTTGGTATGGAAGTCGTGATTATTTATATATATATATATATTAACCCTTAATAATCACTATCCCCTGGACTGGTGCCAAGCCTGATCAAATAGTGGATCTTAGGCAGGCTCCTGATCTGATTGGTTACTTAGACCTTTCTCAGCATAAAGATAGAGTAATTAGATGGATTCCTCACTGCATTGCTAGTCTAAACCTAGAATTCAGAGTCTATTATCTTTACTATATAAAATTATATATAATAAGTAATGGAAGTATAATTTCACCTTTTACTATTAATATAACTATGGAAATCTATCTAGTAAGTATATTTTATATTAGGCTGGTAGAGAGGCACCTTGCAGGCCTTGTAATTCCAGTTAGTAAGGTTTACTTCTAATATCTATTAATAGATAGTACCTTACTACTGTATATAATTAGTATAGAGGCACTAAGTATACCTTATCTATAGCTTTTCAGGCCTTCGCTCCTTTATATACTTAAGAGAGCTATCTAATTATATCTAACTATCTAGAAGGTTAATATATGCAGCCTTTTACTTAGGCTAGTATGTTAGCTCTATTTAATATTATAATAAAGCCTTAAAAAGCTCCTATTAGAATTAAAGCTGTATAGGTTTTAGTTAATTTAAATACTGTGCATCTATATAGCTAATTTAATAGGTATTAACTACAGCTGTGTTAATAATCTATAAGAAAAGTAGCTACTAAGTATAGAAGGTTAGATAGTGAGTTTTATAGCTTATATAAAGCTAATTAGCAATATCAATACCTCCTATATAGTAATTATAATTATTAATAAAGCTAGGAATCTCTAGTTCCTTAGTAAAACTATCCCTAAAAACCTCCTTTATGAGATATGTATTTATACTAGTCTTAGATAGATGCTTTCTCTCCTATTTTCTTAGATCTTCTATCTAATAGATTAAATAGACTGTTGTCATGCCTAGCATAATATTATTATCTTACTAGGTAAAGTATAAGACCTTCTTCTCCTCTAATAGTATTGCGCAAATTATATTCTATAGTAGATTATAGGCCTTATCTTTAAGGTGTGTAAGTAGCTCTGGCTAATTAGGGCTAGCATTCTTTAGCCTAGTAGTGCCACATGCACCAATTCCATATTGATATAAGATATTAAATAGTGAGATACTAGTAAAGTAATTATCTAGGTAGATAGTATAGTAATTTAGCCACAGAGGGAGGTATCTAAGGAGTTGTAATACTATAGAGCCTATCTATATAAGATCTTTATGCTTAATCACTTCTAGAAGGCTAAGAGCATGGCTTAAGGGCATAAAAGTCTAGATATAACCATGATCAGCTAAGGTGTATAGCTTATAGCCTTGGTTAATTAGCTTATTAGGTATTTTATATATATAAGATGATTATCCATGGCATTAAATTATTAGCTTATTAATTAAGATGTTTATTAAGGGCTGGTAGTATCTCTCAGAGGCAGATTAGAATTCTGAAATTAATAGCTTAAGCTTTCACCACCATATCTTCCTAAGATATTTAATATTATATTTGGCTTCCTCAGCCTTGTCTAGCTCCTTATCTATAGGGTCAGGCACATGTGGGTATCTAATATAATATAGAGATATATAAAGATATTATTTAATCTGCTGGAATTAAATAAGGCTTATATATTAATGTATTAGATGAAGTGGGCTATCTACTGGATCCTAATACTAATATCCCTTAATAGATGGCTCTCTGAACAGTCCTATATATATAATTATCCTAATAAAAATATATATCTTATTCATATGTATAGGGGTCTAAGGATGAGTCTTAGTAAGAGAGATGCTAAAGTGTTTATAATCTATATAGGTATTAGTATTTCTTGCTATAGTATCCTAAATTATATTAGTAAAGAATAGAGAGAAGAGATTAAGTAGCTTTTAAGTATTAATACTACTAGGAAGCAGTAGTATTAGTGCTTAAGGCTTACTTATCTTAATTAGATTAAATTTAATACTTTTAATGTCAGGAATCTTACTAAGAATCTTCCCTGCCTTCTCTTTATATATTACTCTTTACTTCTTCACTAGCAGGGCTTTAGATTTAATAATATTAGATAGCTCACTACTACCTAGCTTCCTCTTTGGATTAGATAGTAGTGTATCTAGCTAAGGGGTGGAGCAAAGTAAGGAGTTGATATCCATAGTTAGAATGCCAGGAGTGGATACAGCTGTATATTCCAGAGAATAGTAAAATCTAATTTTCTGCTGGACATATTATCTAAAGAAGTAAGTGGTTTGCTATTGACTAATCAAATCAGGAGCCTGCCTAAGATCCACTATTTGATCAGGCTTGGCACCAGTCCAGGGGATAGATATTAAATTAATATTTTAGATCTAGATTAGTATAATGATAATTACTATATATTTTATATAGAAATATTAATTTCTATAGATATAGTAGTAGTATGATAGATAGTATAATTATTTAAAAATTTAAAATAGTTAACTTTTACTAAGGGGTAGTAGTTTATCCAACCTAAAATTCAACCAAATCTAACCATGATTAATTAGTAGGAACCTAGCTAGGCCGCAGACCCAGAGACTGACGGTAGACGGCAAAGGCGTCCATGAACACGTTGGCAGCAGCATAATTCGCCTGTCCCTTCTGGCCCACAACGCCGGAGATGCTGGATAACATGGTGAAAAAGTCGAGCGACAGGTTCAGATGCTGTGCCGCATGGTGCATGTTCCACGCCCCCTGAACCTTGCTACTGATAGTTGCGTGGTATTCCTCCACCGTCATCATCTCATATGGTTTGTCCTAAGGAGGCGTTAGTGTCTAGCTTGGAGTTGAATCCCAAGTGTGATGGGGCAACGAACTCTTAACACCATATCTCCCTGGATGATCCCTCCGACGGAGACCGGGGTGACCTGCAATGTACGAAGAACATCGTCCCAGCTCGCTACATCTCCCTTGGCTGCGTAAACCTCGCAGTCAAACGACCAGCAGTTCTGCACCACGCGCTGCGACTGTTCATCGCCACAGCCGCTGCGAGACATGGCCACAATATGCTTGGCTCCGTGCTGGGCCATGTAGATGGCAAGACTTCCACATAGTCCACGCAGTCCCCCGACAATCAAGTACGCAACATCAGGGAGGAGATCAAACGTCCGAGGTGCCGGACGTACAGGAACCTGCACCGAGCTAGCCTCCCCGCTGGAGATCACCATCTTACCGATATGGCGCCCGCTGCGCATGTATGCGAATGCCGCAGGGATGTCCTCAAAGGGGAAAACCTTGATCGGGTGGATCGGATGTACATGTCCACCTTCATAAAGCACGAAGAGTTGTTGCATGAGACTAGACCATATCAGTTTTGGGCAAATCAACACATGACAAGGGGAGAAGGAACAGACATACTCAGCAATGAGCGCATCGGTGATGGCCTTGTGGGAAAAGTCTAGCGCCCGGAAGGAGCAGTTTCGATCAAATGGCTCCATGGACAGCTTGTTGCGGTCCAAGACGTCCTTCTTACCGATCTCGACCATGGTGCCTCCGTCGGCACAGACGCGCCAGGATTCATCGAGCAGCTCGCCGGTCAGAGAGTTCAGAATAACGTCTACACCGCGGCCATTGGTAGCTGCCAAAATGCCCGCAGCAAATTGCGTCATCCGCGAAGAGAACATGCGTTCGTAAGGGATTCCAAAGTTCTCATGGAGGAACTGACGTTTCTCTTCAGATCGCACAGTCACGTAGATTTCGGCACTGATGTACGTCGCTAGGTGAATGCTGGATATACCGATACCCCCAGCAGCAGATTGGATTAGCACACTCTGGCCGCGTCGTAAATTGGCCAGGTTGAACAGAGCGTATAGAGAAGTGAGATAAACTCCCAAGAGGGTAGCAGCGTGCTTAAAGGACATGGAATCTGGCAGGAGATGTGCTCTCTCCTTACTGACCTGAATGCGGTTGGCAAAGCAAACCTTTTCAAAGACAACGACGCGATCTCCAGGTGAGTAAGGGACTCCCTTTCCCACTCGCCTAACGAAACCAGCTCCCTCGACTCCCAGGAGACGTTCGTTCTCCGGGACGATGCCCATAGTGACTGCGACATCCTTGAAATTAAGTCCGGCCGCGTATATCTCCACTTCGAGACAGCCATCCCTGACTGGCAACTCGGTGGCCAAGACTTCCCCATAGTGGAAAGACTCGAGAGTGCCCAGTCGCTCAGCTTGTAGACGGGCGGTGGTGGACAAGTCATGGAGCGACCGCTCCTGCAGATCTGCCCCATTGAGCCTGTCAGTGCGGACCTTGTTGATGCCGTCATCAACAATGATTCGGCTGATATAAATGACACCGCCTCGCTCAACGTATTCGTTATCGACCTGGGATTTGGGCCCCGGCAAGTGCAGACGGCGCAGGATGCGGTCAATGGCATCAGTCGTAGTTGGACTTTCAGCCTCTTCCACATCCAGTGTAGTCAGGCGAAGACTGGGGCCTTCAGCCCGGATGCTGCGGAAAAAGCCATGAACAAGGGCGTTATCGGGCTGTTGGACTCTGAATTGAGAGCCCACGGTGACCCAGAGCAGGGGGCATCGTTTGTTGCAAGTGACCTCTTTGATGGCATCCCATTGCTCTGGTGAGACAGAGGCCAGCACGGGATGGGAGGGCTCGTCGAGAACGACGATGGGTGATCCTGGATGGAGATGAGAGAAGGGAAACACATGTTCCACGACAGTCCATCCCAGGACCTCTAGGCCTAGTCGTGCTCTTGTCAGAATAGGATCGCAGGCATCCGACAACCTCGCAACATCAATTCTACCCCGGGGAGTAGCCTTGTTCTCGCTGCCCACCGAGCAGCGATAGGCCCATTGAACAGAGTTGCAAGGGATTTTGATGACGTCTGTGAAACCTGCCTCGCGAATGATTGATGGGATATGCTCAAACGGCGTGTGCCCGTTGATGACACCGTCAGTGCTTTCAGTCCCGAGAAGGAACGTTTCGATGGCGAGAAAAGAGCCTGAATCGGCCAGCAAGGCACGTGAATTCCGCGCAACATTGGCCAAAAGTTCGGGAGTCATAGCATCCCGCTTGGCGATGACCAAGTCGAATTTTGAGTCCCTTGGAGCTACGTCTGTCTTGGCCAAATCAAGAAGGTCAAAGGTAACGGATTTTGCCGACTGATAGTCCTCTTCGGCTGCCACCAGGGCGGTTGTGTCGCACGAAGTGAACGAGTACGCGCGATACGCGGCGCGATTGGCTTGGTGACTGGCCTGCAGCCAGAGACTAGACTTGTCGCCCATGGTCAGGTTTGCCTCCATGACGCTCAGAGTAGGTTTCTTGTGTGCAAACAAGTCCAGAATGCGATCAATTCTCGTAGAGCCGTCCCTGACTTCTACGGCCGAGTACTGCTCAGGTTGCAGCAAGGATACATCCGGGTTCCAGCTCAAACAGGTATACGTTTGTGATGCGGACTTATCATCGGTGTCGAGTCAGTTATAACGCAGGCCGGTAAGCTTAAGTAGCAGCGCTCCGGTTTCGGGGTCGTAGACGGTGCACCCCGACATATAGTTCTTGTTGTCGTCCAGACGGCCTTTGCCCACGTACTCGGAGGTGGTGCAGGACAGACCAGTTTCAGGGCGGTTGTGGACAGGATTTATGATCAAGTCGTCGATGATAGCGGGCACGAGAATCCCGCGAATGCTGCTTCGAATGCCGGCAACGGCCGATGGAGTCACGGTCTGAAAGCACCCATCCATGCATGCTGGATGCATAGGATGCAGAGATTGCGGGCTCCACTTGGACTCCGGCTCCGTGAGTGACAGATAGGATCTACTGCGGCGCTCACCTGCAACGGACTCACTCTCGAGGTGTTTAATGAAAGCAGGACCAAATCCGCAGCCAGCATCTGCCAGTGCCTTGTACCAAATGGCTGCCTTGGTCGGGTTGCGCAGCAGCCCAAGGTCTGCATGAGAGCCCTTTTTCATTTTCTCAGTCGACTCGATCCGAATAAGTCCATGGCAGTGGTCATTTACGGGGGCGTCATCCTGGTGAGAGAGTACACGGAAGTCGTACCAGGCTTCCTTGGACCCTGGGTGCGGCGACAAAGTCAAGGTGACCTTGACTGGCCGGTCCTCCTGAAGCACCAGAGCTTTTTCAAACTTGATATTCCGCAGGAGCGCTGTTCACCTCACGCCGGTGGCTCAACAGACCTGGCGACACGCAACCTTCGCCAGAACCCGGGGGCCATTCCTACCGATCTCGTATGTTGATGACCGTGCAGGAAATTAACCTGGTTCAACCTGTTCTCAGACGTAGGCTAACGATCGTGACGAAATTTAACAGACTGTAATGAGCAGCCTGTATCGAACAAGCTCCAGGATCACGACGTTGGATGGTACATTTGCTCGGGATTTTCTTCTCTACCGGCAGATCCCGAGGAGTAACTTGGAGATCGAACAGTTCGCCCCACGCGGCCATCTGGAAGGTGACTAGCCGATGACCAGTGGGCATAAGTTGATAATATGGAATACGAAACCGCGAAATGAGGTCTGCAAATGGCGTTAGCCCTTGCAAATCCACTCCACCAGGGGTCATCTCGTATCTGCACTGCAACCCTACCGAGCCATGAGACTCCTTCCGCTGACTTCCGCAAGCGATAAGGGAATCCTTTCTGTCTCGGGTGAATAGAGGATGGTGATCACTAACCGCTAGCGTTCTGATCTGCATGTCGTCGGTGCACCGCTGAGTTTATGGACAATGATTGCGATACCCATCTGGATGGGTATTGGGAAGCTGAATGGACTTCAACGAGCGCGTTGAGTTAGGCTTCGTCTGTGAGCGTTCCGAGCGATGGAAGGCCCAGAACCGTGAAGCGCAGAGAAAATTGCGCGGTAAGTCGAATCGTGCTATGTCGAATCCTATTCTGATCTTATGCACAGAATAATGCCCTTGATGGGCACCTCTGTGCTGCAGTGACTGCTATATTCTAGGCCATAAGCAATGCAATGTCCGCAGCGCAGGCCCTGAGTAATCTATTAATCTAGATTGCTGATTGTTTCGTGCCAGTCCGCTTGCCCCCGTAAGTTGCCAGATAGGGCTTTACAGCAATTTAGACCACTTTTGTGACTCTATTGGTGGAGCCATATGTCTACCTGGCCTTTGTTACCAACAGGTAGTATGTACCTAGCAAGTAAGCACTGATAAGGAAAAAATCTCTCCCCTCGTTTTAGTGACATCTATGTTTACCCCGCACTTTTCAGAGTCTTCGCTCCCCATATTTTGTCAAGGAAATCGGATGAGACCGGAAGAATGCTGGAATGGCTATCACCAATGGAGACTCTTCCACTGATCTTCAGCCTTCGCTCAATGTATCCTCCCAATGCGGAAATCCTCCTTGCTAACATTTTACAATGACTCGTTCAACGCGAAAATCCCAAGATGATGTCAGTTACAGGCAGCGACAATAATCGAAGCAGGGGTTTTGTTCATCGTGGACATCTTTGGTTCCGGGGAATCAGGCAGAAACCAACTTCAGCTTCCAAAAAGGGTCATATTTCGCGAGTCCACTCAGATATTTGCGAGAAGGGCTGATGATAAAGAGACGCCCTCCCTACCCCGACGGTTCTCCCTCATATTTACCTCTTCTCTCACTCCTCCATTCACCATGGCCCCTCCCGAAATCCATTCAACATTCTCCGTCACTTCGGGCTGCCTCTGCTTCGGGGACCTCACTAAAATCTGTCAAGGGGCATCCAACGCAATCCAACCATTTCCCAACGTGAGACCGAGGGTCGGTGGAACCATCAAAGCCCATAAGATCGAGTACAATGTGGCGGCGGAGAACGGAAACTGGAATGTCTACCAGCTAATCGACCGGGAAAGAGGCGGCGTTTCAGGATGGTTTATTTGTCATTCTACCACCGTCGACAACCCTGGTTGGGAAATGGACAAGATTCTCCGAGTCTCTGGCTCCCCCTATAAACCAGACAGTGGAAGCAAGATGAATAACGACAAAACAGCTGCTGAGGGGATCTTTGTCATTAACTAATATGATTGGATCTCCTCCAGTAGAAATTTCAATATGGATGAAAATGATTCCCAGTCTCAAGAAGGTCCCTTTAACGCGAACATGTATAGAAGCGCAGCCGGCCTCATCAACCATGGCCAGGCCATATCCCAAGTGGACGCATGGCGAGCACAGAACCCTCAACCAGCCAGAGAGGCCATCATCACCGACAGCGGAATCTGGATGATTATACCACACGATGAGTACCATTACGGTCGCTTTGGGTTTAATGACGACCGCACCGCGGCTCAGTCTTTCCTCTTCTTCGCAACGAACACATATTTCACTCAGACATCCTTCCGCGGCGAAGATCAGGAAACATTCCGTAAGAAAGAGTCTGATGAAGAAAGATTCGCCCGGCGTCTCCGTGAGGGATATGACTTTTCTAGGCTTGAATTTTTGAACGAGCGATGTGGTCCTCTTACTCAGGAGGAAGAGAATGCAGGGATTTTGCGCTTGTATCCTTTGCAACCTCCTGAGGAGAAGTGGTTGGGTCCATATGATAAAACAGAATACCTGTTTCCCACCAAGGAGTTTGTCTTTCTGCTCCATCAAGGGCCGATTTTGCATGACCCACCATCGTTCAGCGCGTGTGTGGGAATAGATCAACCTGGTAGGGGATTGAGGTTTGTCAAGCAATTGAAGGAGCAAGTCTGTGACCTTATCAATGAGATGATTCTGAGTTATCTGGAGAGTGTTGTGTTGGGTGTTTTGCGCGCCCAGATGACTCTGCCAACAGGGTTTGTCTCATCACCCGCAACTGCAGCTACGTCGTTCACAGCTACTCTGTTTCCCCATCACCAGGATCAAGATCGCATGAGAACAGGTGATTTTATGCTGTACGAATACTTTCTGAATGCGCTTCCTGTGGAGGGGTTTGAGACTGCTGGCGTGGCCGAAAAGATAGAGACGTTTTTCAATTCAAGGCTAGGGGAGGATGAAATCAAGGTAGGAGAAAGGGAAAAGGAGATAATGGAAAAGTTATCTTGTGTGATGGTTCTTCTGGTAATAGAATTGCTGGATAGCTCCGCGTTATGTGCTCGGGGATGTAACAGAGATGCAATCGTGCCATGGGATGTGCGGATAAGAGTGGCCGGGGGTGATTGGATGTTCGAAATATTCCAGTACTCGAGGGTGTTCTGGAAAGGGCAATCCAGTTAGATATGCTTATGATCAGACTTTTCTTTCCCGTTCTGAGATATCTACATTTGAACGGAAGACGTCCAACAAAGTGGTCACCATCGCAGAACTGACAACACACTGACTGCTCCCTACACGCAGTGACTCTAAGGCTCACTGTCATGGAATCGATCCCTACCTCAAACGCGATTGCGAGCGGTTCAATGCCGGCTATCCACGCATGCAAAGGCTCTCAACTTTCCTGACCATAACCAGCTCGAGCGTGTTGAACGGTAAATGGAAGCCGACCCCGCCGTGAATTATCCAAGGCCGATAGTGGTCTTGTGACAAAATTAGGGCGTAGGGGAAGCACTAGAAAGAGGACCTGGGGCCAGAACATCGGGACAATGCCTCTGAAATATGTGAATGATCCCACCACCTACAATATGACTGTCATGCATGAGGTACAGGGCCATCTGACTATTCCGAGGTTCAGACATGTCCTCCATACAATGCTGTAGCATCACTAAGGGCTACGCACCATTTCTACGCCCATATGGATGATAGTCACCCCATGCAGGGAGTTCTGTCCACTCCAGTCTACCTGTTCAAGCATGTAGACAACGCCAGTGACATGGACGTCGCCCGTGAATGTGATTACCTCAAACACCACATATGGGACCTCGAGCGAGGCCAGACCTTGGGTGTGACGGTTCTTTCCCCGCAATTTGGAGAGTCACGCAATTATTCTCGGTTACCACCAAAGGTATGAAGATAAATAACTAAAAGAAGCAAGGGGTTGTGGCACAGCACAACCCAATCCATTATAATATGCCTATTACGCAGGGCCTAATATGCTCATTAAAAATTGATGTTTTTATATGAAATATATAGTAATTATCATCAAACTAATCTATATCTAAATATCAATTTATATCTCATGGGTTGAATGGGTGGTGGTTATGAAAAATTATTTTTAAACCATTACGGTTGTTAAAGGTCGGCACTATATATTTATGACAGTTATACCAAGCGCGGACAGAGATGATTATTCCCTTATATCTACGCAACCACTTGATATTGAATATTCACGTACAATTTTAATATTGAATGCCCATATATTAGGATATCGAATCAGCAAATAGTAGGGATATCAAAATGCTTAGTATGATATGTATACTGAATGCTCATATGGTATAGATATTGAAATTCGTATATAGGAAATGCAATACCACTTAGGCGGAATTAGGAGTGGACATACATAGAAACCAATGTACATTTTTACGGTTTTGTTCCAACCGCCTGCTCTAGACACTGAACCTAAGAGGGAATCTAGCGAGATTTGACTGATTATTACGTAAGTTAAAAGGATGTCGAAGAAAAGGGATGCGGTCATACTGCTGCGGACAATCAGAAGCCTGTATCTCCAATATTCACTAGCTATCAATGTATTTTAGTCTACATTCTTGTTGTGCAAGATGTGCGTTGGTGTTTCAATTAGAGAAGAGTACAAACCTCGACAATTTATACAACCTAAAAGCGGCTATTTCCCAGAAACAATAGATTTCACTACGTCGCGGTATGGTCGCCATTAACACATTAACATGTCTTCCTCAAGGCTATCCGGTGACTCCGGAAATATAGGATTAGAGGAATATGGGAGACAGAAGCGACCATAGTACAGCCTCAGGCACCGACTTTTTCAATTGGTAAAAGCTGAGATGTACCTAAAAGTGTCACTCAGACGCACGCCTCCAGTGGCATCCACCAGCCTTTCAGTGGCCTGTAGACTTCTCACCACGGCTACTCCGAGGACAGATCTTTCCTGAGGAGCTTGGACTTCCTTGCCAACGCGTAACAGAAGTCCTTGATACTCTGTGTACCCAAAAACTCCAGAATAGGGACGGTAACCTGAATATCACTCGCCACCCAGTTTCGCATTTCCTGCAAAGAAACAAGTCAGCTCGTCAACAATCTAGGCATCCATGCGTGACATGAGTCTTACCACAGCTACTAGAGAGTCCAGCCCGTAGCTGCTCATGCTCTGGCCGTCGTCCACCCCAATTTCTTCCTCGGGGAGCATCAGGAGGCTCGCCAATTTACCCACTACGGCACTCAGCACCAAGGACTCTGCGTCCGCCATCGATTCTGCTAGCGGCAGCAACTCTCTGATGCGCTGCTGCCCCGTCCCATCGGCGCCAGCTCCATCACCCGCTCCACTATTGGCCGCCGCTGCCAACGTTGCCATCTGCCGCGCGTAGGCGAACTGGGGAGCTGAGTACAGTGCGCGGGCCGTCCCCCTGTTCTCCAGGAGCCGTGCGGGCCAGAGACCTGTTATGATGTTGCCTGGGTCGACCCCGTTCGCCTTGAGTGGCGCTTGGGAATGGGACCGAGCGGGGAGACAGGCTTCAAGAAGAGCTAGACACTCGGCCTCGGGAATAGGCTCGAAACCTTGGGCGAGGAGCCGATTATGCGTGCCGATGCGGTCAGCAACGTAGCCGACGCCGACGACCATTCCGAGATCCATAGTCGTTGTGGCCGCCCAGCCCAACTGGTTGTTCCTGAAACTGGCAAAGGCGTCTTGGAACGTGCCTGCAGCGTTGTAAGCTGCCTGACTGGTCACGCCCAATATCGCAGCCATGGAGGAGAGCATAACGAAGAAATCCATGTCGGCCGGCAGTAGCTCGTGGAGGTTCCAGGTAGCTTCCACCTTGGGCTTGAGTGAATCAAGCCATGTGGACAGCTCCATGTTCCGGAAGAGATCATTCTTGATCACGAGACCTAGGTGAAGGACGCCCTTGATGGGCGGCAACACGCGCGAGTCGAGCTCTGCCTTGAGCGCTGCCTTATCGGAAGCGTCACATGCTATGACGGTAATCTGTGCCCCGAGGCGTTGGAGGTCTCTGACAGTGTGCTGTGCCTCAGGGGTTGAAGCGCCGCTGCGGGAGATGAAGACTAGATGACGTGCACCGAGATGCCGCACCATGACGGAAGCGAAAGATCGCCCGATGCCACCCAAACCACCAACCAGCACGTAGGCAGCGTCGCTATGCAGCGAGGGACGAGGGGCACCCTGCGGCATAACCATTCCTGATTCCCCTTTCCTAGGTTCCAGTACAATCTTGCCGATGTGTCTTCCTGCCTGCATTGTGCGCATCGCGCTTTCAATATCGCCCAATCCGAACGTGGCAATGGGTTCTATCGGCTGAATTTCCTGGCGACGAGCCATATTCATGACGCTCTCCCAAAGCTCTGAACCCTTCTCGAGTCGTTGAAGGAGGAGTGACATGAGGTCGACTGTCAGGAAGCTGATACTCTTAGCGAGCGACGCCATCTCGAGGGAGGTGTTGATGGCAAAGTCCCGCTTCCCGAGCTCGACGAAACGCCCCCAGGGAGCGAGGCAACGCATGGACGCGCGGAGAAGCTCGCCTGACAGTGAATTAAAGACGACATTGACGCCCTTGCCCGCTGTTGCTGCCATGACGCCGCTCTCAAATCCGGCGTCACGACTCCAGAAGATATCCTGCTCCGCAATGCCATATCGGTCCACAAGGAGGCGCTTTTTCTCACTGTTGCCAACAGTGGCGAGAATACGAGCGCCGGCCCTGCGACACAGCTGGATCAGCGCCTGACCTAGACCCCCGGCTGCGGCGTGGACAAGGACGATGTCGGCAGCATCTACAGCGGCAACACGCATCGAGTGCAGCGCTGTGCAGAAGACAATGGGCAGAGTCGCTGCTTCAGCAAAGGTCATGGTATCGGGGAGGTGCTGTGCACGGCTGGCTGGCACACGCACACATTGAGACAACGCGCCATCTGCAGGCGCAACAACATGGTCACCAACTCGCATCTTCCTCTGGTCGACATCAGATCCAACAGCCGTAACAATACCGGCGCACTCGGCACCTAGATCGGCCGCTTCGATTTGGCCCATGGCCATCATAACATCTCGGAAGTTGAGTCCGGCTGCTCGGATTTCGATTTCAACCTCGTTTGCACCCAGCGGACCGGCCACGCGAGCATCATCGCCGAAATACAGGGTATCCAGCATCCCAAGCTGCGCAACTTCCACCTTGAGCCGCCTTTCGGCCTGCGTGCCAGTGTTCATACTCTGTACTGAGGGACGGAGTACGCCCACCCGGGAGGTGACGAAGTGCTCCACAGCCGTGTCTTCCGTGAATCGTAGCAACTGGATAGTGCTGTTACGCTCTATAAACTCGAGCTCTGGGTCGCCGCCAGAGTCTCCATCGCGGAGACCGTGATTCTCATAAGTTTCAAGCGCGTGGCGATAGACACGGGTCAAGGTTTGCGAGAGCTGCTCTCCTGCCAGTATGTCTGTTCCTGGCTCGAGGTCGAGGTGCACCAGAGGACCGCCGATTTCCGTCCGCAACGTCCGCAATAGACCACTGGCCAAGGCGAGGTCGGGCGAGCTGGACTCGGGAAAACAAGCTCCCCGTGTTACCCACAGGATACCCTCACTGCCCGTCGCCAGGGACTTGATGGCTTCCCAGCTGGCTTCGTTTGGGTTCCGAAGCATGGACGAGCTACCGAGCTCGAGGAATATCGTGTGTGTGTGCTCGTCTTGCTGCAGCAGCTTGGAATCCTGTACGTATTGCTCCAGTGTGAAAGCTTGTGCGGGCCCCATGCTTCCGAGAGACTCGCAGAGGGCCCCAACGACGGCTGACGGGCAGCCTGAGCCGCTCACGACGCGAAAGCATCGGTCAGTGGCTGGGTGCTGATGGCTCTCTTCGGCAACGGCCGTCGTCACCAGCGTTGTCCCCTTGTGTGTCAAGCTGTCTTCGGTGTCCCAGACCGCTGCCTTCAGTCCAGAAAAGCCGGTCCTCTGAAAGATTTCATTCCAACCATTCTCGTCCAACAGGGGAGAGTCCTGCCGATGCGCCTCCTCGGCAATCCACCACCCCGGAAAGATGCCAAACAAATCGCCGACGCCCCCATACGGCTTGCGCATCAGCTCAACGAGGACGAGTGTGCCTCCGGGCCTGAGAAGGTGGCGCGTATTACGCATAGTCCGCTCGAGGTCCTTCGTCGCGTGTAGGACGTTCGATGCAACGATGAGGTCGTAGGTCCCGGCGACAAACCCTTGATCAACAGGATCCGTTTCGATGTCGAGCTTGCGGTAGGTGATGGGCAGGTCCTCCCAGCCCTTTTCGGCCATCTTCGCCTGGAATGGGCCGAAGAAGCCTGGTGAGACATCGGTGAAATCGTAAGAGACAAAGCGTGGCATGTCGGACCCTGACGATCCGGCCAGCTTCTCCAGGATCGGCATCGTGGCGCCTCCCGTGCCGGCTCCGATCTCAAGCACACGGAGGCTGGGGTTCTGGTGCGCAAGTAGATCCACGACTATTGCGGCCTGTTCGCAGGACCGCCGCATGCGTACGTTGTTGGCATAGTAACGGCCAAGAGCATCGCCCCGTGTCACTACGGAGAGCACGTCTACCTCGTCGCGCAGGAACGCGGGGAGGTGGTCGCCCACAAGAGCCACAAAGATGCCCTCATCGCCAGTGGAATTCCGTCCTTGCTCCCACACAGCGGCGCGCTGCTCAGCTGTCTTCCCGATCCACGCCTTGACGTCGTGTGGGCTGCGGCCTGTGTGAACGTCGTCTCGGAGGCGCGTCAAGGAGCGGTAGAGCTTGGCGCGGTCCTCGTTGCCCTGGGGGAGATGGCTGATGTCGGGCACCTGCGCAAGTGCTCTCTCGGCCATGATATATCCCATCTCTTCGAGGAGGAGCAGGTCAGCCCGCTCTGCCTCTGGGCTCAAGGGCTGCAGGTGGGCGCAGAGTTTCGAGAGCAGCTCCGACGTCAGGAAATCGGGATCTGGCTTGAGAAGGGGCCGCAGGCATTTTTTGATGGGAAAGCTGTCTTTGGCGCTACGCTCGCCTCCTCCAGCGAGCGAGGTGAGTGTCAACCCGTCAATTCGCACCGTTGGTGCTGGCTGAGTTGTCTTGTCGCCGACGAGCTGGCCACTCAGCGAGACTACCGTCTGACGTCGGTTCGCCTTATCAACGTGAACAGCGACATCGAACTGCTCACCAGGAGTCTGGGAAATGCCGGCCGAGATGTGGACACTCGAGATGAAAGTGGGCACTACCGCACCCTGAAGGTCCAGCCGTAGTGGCAGAACGGCATGCAGGCAGGCGTCTAGGAAGGCAGGATGAACAATGAAAGCGCTGTGGTGTTGCATCGGCATGTGCGAGCACATGTCCCGAACAGTGATGGTTCCCAGGGCCTCCGATCCCCTACCATCGTGGCGAACTCGCGTCAGATTTCGAAATGAAGGTCCGTACTCCAGCCCAATGGCAGTCAGACGGTCGTATAGCGCAGCAGGGTCGAGTTCGTCTGTACAGGTGTCTTTCGCGATACGCCAGTTATCATCATTCCGTCCCTTCTCCAGCTCCGCGAGGCGGCTCCCACTGACCTCGTTACTGTTGCCGCTGTACTGATCGACTGAACGCACGGCAATGAGACCACGGCAGTGCTCAGACCACTTGCCGTCCGCGCCGCAAGACGTGACCAAGAACTCACTCCACACATGAGAGGCAGAGGAGCCCGTCTCGCGGAAGCCCCTCTGTTGAGAGGGCCGCAGGCTCAGCATCGTCTCTACCTCGTCCGTGCTATCGGGGATCACGAGTGCCTGTCCAATGACCACCTCGCGCAGATCGAACCCGCCGATGGAGCCCGTCCCGGACTCCTGCGACGCCGCGGCGTGCTGGCGAGCGGCTTCGATGGCCATGCAGAGGAAGCCCGCAGCCGGGTACACGGTCAGGCCCTGCACGCGGTGGTGCCGCAGCCAGGGCAGCTCTGAGACGCGCATCCAGTTGCGCCAGCGCGGTTCCAGCGGGTTGTTGAAGCGGACAATGGCGCCGAGGAGGTCGTGGCGGGCCTCCTTGCGCATGCGGTAGAGATAGCTCTCGCGTGGTTCGGCCCAGTAGCGTGTGCCGTGATTCCAGGGGTACGATGGCAGGTCGACGAGAACGGAGCGTTGGACGACCTCGCTGCTCGGCTGCGGTTCCTTGTCGCCGTTGACGTGGCCATTGGCAAGACCATTCGACAAAGGAGCATGGACAGCCGGACTTTGAGCCTGGTTGACTCGGCTTAGATCCACAGCAAACCCCTTCTCGAAGAGTGCAGCGGCAAAATTCAGCGCTGTTTCGTGGGCGTCCTCTCCGCGACGAAGAACAGAGAGGTAGGATAGCTCGGACAGGGCTGGCTCGGCTTGGAGTATCTGACGGATTGGCCCGGCAAGTGCCGAATGGGGTCCAATTTCTGCAAGAACATCGACAGGTGCTGCGTTTTGAGCTTTGTTGTTCTTGAGGTCCCTCTTCCTACTTTTGCCGCCAAGTTCTTGACACAGCCTACTCAAAGCGTCACAGAAGCGTACCGGCTGAACGAGGTTCTCGACCCAATAGTCGGCGCCCAGCTGGCTTGGCTCGTCGAGGCGCTCACCTGACACCGATGAAAACATGGGCGCTCTTGCAGTCGGAAGCGGCTCGTCATGCTGGAGGCTGAATGAGGATGACTTCATGAGTGCAGTACGGTAGCCTTCTGCCACCGCTTGCATTGACATCGAGTGGTAAGCGACATTCACAGGGAGCTTGTGAACTTGGAGCTCACGAGTCTTGCACAGGTTGACGAGCTCGCTAATGGCCTCGGCTGGACCTGAGACAGTACAGCTGAGCGGGCTGTTATAGCAGGCGATGTCACACCCGTGCTGTCCATTCTGCGTCTGCAGCTCGCCAAGAAGCTCGCGGACCTTTGTCTCAGACGCTGCCACGGCCGCCATGCCGCCGCTGTGCAGCTCCGGCTGCGACGCCGCCACACCGCGGAAGTAGGCAGCCGCCATGGCAGCACGCCCGCTGATCAGTCCAGCCGCATATGCAGCCGCGATTTCGCCGCTGGAATGGCCAACCACTCCCACCGGGTTGACGGCCCAATCCGCCAGCAGGTCCACCAGCGCCAGCTGCACCGCTGTGCACAGCGGCTGGCTGATGCGGGTCAGCCCGACGCGCGTCGCGCCCTGCTCGCGGCACAGCTCCTCGGCGGCCGACCAGTCGGCGCCGAGCCCGTGCAGCCAGGCGTCGCATCGCGCGAGTGAGCGGGCGAAGGGCGGCGCCGTGGCCATCAGCTCGCGGCCCATGGCGAACCACGCCGCGCCCTGGCCCGTAAAGACGAAGGCCAGCCCGGGCGGGGTGCGGCGGGTCTTGAAGGCGTGGTTGGAGGCCTGGAGCGCCGCGACGAGATCGGCGGGCGTGCGGGCGACGAAGGCGGCGCGGTACGGGAGGAGGGAGCGATGCTTGATTAGGGTGTGGGCGAGGTCCGCGAGCGTGTCCGCGTTGTCGTCGTCGCTCCGGGCTTGGAGGTAGGAGGCGAGGCGCGATGCTTGGGATGAGCCGGCTTCGGCGTCGAAGGCTGAGAGGGGGAAGATACGGCGCTGATAGCTGGTAGGTTGTGACGGCGACAAGTGGAGATGGCCGTTCTGTCCGTTCTGTCCGTTCTGTCCGTTCTGTCCGTTCTGTCCGTTCTGTCCGTTCTCCTGAGGAACTTCTTGGACTCTGGGACCTGTGATGTGGAGCTGCTCTTTCAGCAATGTCTTCGGGTCATCCCTGCGGAAGGCAGATTCGTCCCTCCATTTTGAAGTATGATAGCCATTGGTAATATCATTCCTAGCAGAATCTAGGTCCGGAGCAGGAGACGGGATTCTAGCCGGCCCTGGAACGGGTAGGCTGGCTAGGTAGGCTTGTGTGTGGTCCAGAATAGCACAGGCGTTGGTGCCCCCAAAGCCGAAGCCGCTGACAGAAGCCCGAAGCGCGCCTGATTGAGTCGGTATCCATCGCCGGGTTGTCTGTGGGATCTGGTCTCGGTCAGCTCTGAAGTGGATCAAGGTAAGACTTGTCCGTCTAAGTACTGGGGATCGTCGACTTGGGGGGAGGGGGGAACAACGCGGTAATATCAAGTTGCAAAAACAAAGCAAGATGTCAGATCTTTTCTTACCTCAAGCTTCCACTTCTTCAGAGGTATGCGCTCGTTTGCTTTTTGGAAGCCGGCATTCGGCACGATAGTCTGGTGTTCCAGCATCATGACTGTTTTTACCAAGCCCGCCACGCCAGCAGCGCCCTCAAGGTGGCCGACGTTTGTCTTGACGGATCCTACAACCAAAGGTGACGCCCGAGCAGGCGCACCGGACCCGCCCTGGCCGCAGTAGACGTCGGAAAGGGCAGCGGCTTCTATCGGGTCGCCCGCCTGGGTGCCCGTCCCATGACACTCGGCATACGTCGTCTCGGCGGGGTTCAGCCCTGCGTCGGCGTGAGCTCTGCGCAACAGTGCTGCCTGGGCTTTGGCACTCGGGAACGTGATGCCGGGAGTGCGGCCATCCTGATTGCAGCCCGTATTCCTGATGACGGCCCGCACGCAGTCGCCGTCGCGCAGCGCGTCTGCCAGGGGCTTCAGCACGAGGGCTGCCACGCCCTCTCCACGTCCGTAGCCGTTGGCGCGTGAGTCGTAAGAGTAGCTGCGCCCATCGGGCGACAGGAATCGTGTGGTGGTCATGGGGTTCAGCATGTCATGGTTCAGCAGCGCGTTGGCCCCTGCCACCACGGCGCCGCGACAGTCGCCGGCCCGTATCGCCGTGCAAGCTAGGTGCAGCGCGACCATGCTGGACGAGCATGCCGTGTCGAGCATGACGGACGGCCCGACCAGGTTGAAGAAGTACGACAGGCGGTTTGCGAGCAGCGCGTCTCCCGAGCCCGTCGCCTGGTACATTGGAACCGCGTCTGGGTCGCGGGTCATGGTCATCTGGCCCCAGTCTTTGCAGAAACAGCCTACAAAGACGCCGAGGGCTTCTCCTGATATGGAGGCCATGGGCACGCCGGCTGTACACCAGGTAAGCCGCGAGCCAGCGCGTGATGGGTTGTTGTCTGCATGCCTTGTCCCAGCCAGACAAGGGAAGAGCTTACGTACCATTCTCAAAGGCTTCATAGGTGCACTCGAGCAGAAGTCGCTGCTGTGGGTCAAGTGCCTGAGTCGGTAGGTCAATGACTAGGTCAAGTTGACTGGGGAAACGAATAGGCGGACTTACTGCTGCTTCGGCTTTGGTCATGCCAAAAAAGGGGGCGTCGAAAAGGCCCAGATCTTCTTCCATGAAGAAGCCGCCCTTGACGTTTGACTAAGGAAGGTGATGTGTATATCAGCATCGAGAACAGACCATGTAACACCGAGGCCGCTACAATTGATGTCTGTCGACTACTTACCGCGCCGTTCCGGGCAGGGTCTGGGTGGTAGAAAGCCTCGTGGTTGAAGCGTGTTGACGGTATTGGCGACCAGGCATCGCGCCCGTCGACCATCATGTCCCATAACTTGCTTGGGTTGTGGGCTTCGCCGGGGAAGCGTCCTGCCATACCGACGATGGCTATAGGCATCGTCTTGGAGTCTTGATGCATCTTGGCTATGTATGTATGTATGTCACGAAGAGGGAAAGAGGTGTCGTTTCTTCGAGGACCTGGGACGAGTGTGTAGACGATTGATGTTACCTTAAGTAAAGAGAAGCACCTTCACCATCACCAATACCAACGACTATGCCCTTCGTTAGAGGTAGTCTTTCTTATTCTGCCGGCCACCAGACTGGGCTGGAAGCTCCTTGCGTCGCGTATTCTGATAGGTTGGATCCCTACGATCTGACTAGCTGTTCAAAGCTCTGAATCTATTGGCTGTAGCTATTGGTGATCGGGGCAAATCCTTCTGGGTGAATGGGACGGGGTATTTTGCAACTGCACCCCGGTCAGGAAGATGGGAGGCCATGTAGACGCCATGCTAGACTGGTTAGAGTAGGATAGGATGAATCTTGGGTGCGCGAGCCTTCTGACGATTTAGAAGCCTCCGACCTTGTGCTTCCGTTAGATCGGCGAGTTTTGCTTGCCGGGGCCTTTCACTGCATAAGGCTGACCCTTTCTCTTCCGACCAGGTTGAAGTGATTGTTGTCTCATCCTTTGGGGTGTTCGGGTAATAGGTCGTGTACATGACCTTGGTGGATTGCATAAAGGGCTCTCAGTGGCCCATCAGTTAGTTTATGAGGTGTAGTAAACATGGATAGTAATAGGGTAATGGTTTATAGATTATACACGCCACTGAAGGGCAGTTGTTATATTGGCTCAATACAAATCTATGATACCGCTGTGCCAGACCTACATGTGTCCATTTCTGACATGGTAACCCCCGCTGTGTCTGGACTATCATCGTCGACTCCTATTCTCTTCCAACCTAAACCAAACGCAAGCAAAACAGCAACAGCTGCACTCGCCGTTGGATAGAACTACAAACATCAATCAGCCGTGTTCGTCAGGATCACAATCCCTACACTCACAAAGATCTGGGTCAATGCCTCGTTATAGGCCCGCAGTAGCCCAGGCAACTGGTCTGGTGTCACCAACTGCTGAATCTCCGTGGCGCCCGTGTTGATCACCAGCTCGGGGTCTACGAAAGGGGCATATTGCGCCAGGGCACCTGGTATACCGCTTCGGAATATGGTCTGGCCTACAGACGTGCCAATCGCACTCCCGAGATACATGAGTAGGGTGAGACTCGACGTCGCCATAGCAAGCTCTTCGCTAGGAAGGCTTTCCTGGACGGCAATCACCGGCTTTTGGATATAGGCTTTGAGTAAGGTCGACTGTGTGCAGAGGAAAAGAAGGCTGACCTTACTATTTGAAGCGCCATTCCGCGCCCGTACCCTGTGAGGATTTGGTATCCGATCCAGTGCCCAGTAGTCGAGGTCACGGAGAGCGTCGTCAAGAGCCCCGTGCCAACTGCCGAGAGTATGCTACCCGCTATTGCCCAAGGTGGCACGTAATGCAGCCTCCGGACTGGAGCGAACCAACAAATGAGTTGAGATTTCGGACAATGCTGTTAGATACGTACCTAATACTGCCGCAGTCATCATGCCGGCAATCATTGAAATCATCGAAGGTAGCAGCCTCACGCCGGCCCCGACCGCGCTCACCCCCTGGATGGCCTGGAACCACAGGGGAAGATAGTATGTGACCACGGTCGTGGAGCCGCCCTGCATCGCGACAACAGCACTACCGAAGACAACGAGCGGGTGAAGCATCGTGCTTCGTGGGATCAGAGCCCTTTCCCCTGCGTATCTTGACCACATGGCGAACGCGATCATCGTCGCCACGGAGCCGCAGAAAAGCCCGATGATCGTGGGCGAGGACCACGCAAAATCGGCGCCTCCCCAGCTGATGGCAAGGAGTAGTTCTATGATTGCTGGCGCGAAGAGGAGAAAGCCTACGGGGTCGACGCTTCGGGGCAGCTCGGAGAGCGCTTGGCGGAAAGGGGGCTTCGGGGCCTGTTCGGGGATGCGAACGGCGACGATGATGATGGCTGTGACGGCGCCGACAGGGAGAAAGATCCAAAAGCCTGACACAACGTCTTAGGGTCTTGCCTCGTTGTTTTCCGACGACGTCAAGGAACGACTTACACCACTTCCAGCCAAGGTGATCGGTCAGGGCGCCGGCGATCAAGGGGCCGGTGATGCCGCCGAGGGGTATGAGCGATATTGCGGCCCCGGTGATCATGGGCCGTATCCGAGGCGGACACGCAGCGGATATGATGACGAGGCCGCCGTTCATGAGGCCGGCGGCGCCAATTCCCGTGATAGCCCTACCGATGATGAAGACGGGGCTCGTTGGCGCGACGGCGCACGCAAGGCTACCGAGCTCGAATACGGTGAAGAAGGCCAGGTATGTGTGCTTGAAACAGATCAGCTGCTGGGACATTAATGGTGCCTTTACACAAACCTTGCTTGGCATGACGGTGTATATCTGGCCGGCCAATGGCTGGAGGACGCATCTGGTGGGTTGGTTAGGCGTGCATTCTTCCCCGACAGCATTTCCGGCAAACAATGACTCACATTGGCACAAGGTATGCTATTTCGTACCAGCCAACGTCTGATATTCTGTGGAAGTAATCCGAAAGCTTTGGTATTACCTGGAGCAGATCGTATTAGTCCCGACTCGGCGACAGGGCTGATGAGTTGCGCCTACGGTAGATAGCATGGACAGATCAAGCCCGACCAAGTAGACGGCTAGATACAAACCCCCAATGAGGCTCCATAGGCGGGCACCATGGAGGGTAGTTTCATTCGTGGGTGAAACCGTTTGACCGGATCCGCCATTGATGGTCGGTAACAGATTGGGGGGGTCGGCTGGTACTCCCGGGTCTACCGGACGTGGCGGCCGTGATTTGGGAAGTTCGTGGTCCAGCATGGACGTCGTTGCCAACCGAATCTCCGGACAAGTGACCTGTTCATCATGATGCATGCTTCTAGTTGTCAATGCGGTGAATGCACGGGTTAGAGGTGATAGAGTGGAAAAGACAAGGCACTCGTGATGGGAGAAGGAGCAACCTCAGTCCAACAAAGTTCCTCTTCGATCCACCTGCACGATCGGCGAGATTTTCAGGGGAGTTGCGGGGGCACCACTTATAGACCGATCATCGGCGAGATTCCTCTAGAGTCTAGGCCCAGTCGCTCGCAGCCTAGGGCATAAGCATGACTCGCAGTGTCAGAAATTAGTCCACGCCAAGCCAAGCCGTTACACCAGGGATGGGCAGGGGCTTATACTACATGAATACAAGAAAGTCTAGCTATACACATGGCATACATGGTACTGTAATCGGCGTATAGTTGAGTGAGGGCATATCCCTCCTCGGAATGGAGTCACGTCAGTATAAGTAGTTCAGCAAGTCCAAAAAGGTCCTAAGCCTGGCATCAAATCGGAACGCTTCTGTCTCATTTTCTCTGTTGTTACAGGATGAAGCCTCAAGCCATGCCCCTTATCTCTGCAGACAATGAGTGGTCACCTCTCAAAGCCGTCATTGTTGGCGATGCGGAGCACTCGGCGTTTCCATCGGAGCCCGGGCATATGATAGCGGCGACGATGCCACCCGAGCATTTCGATATGTTCCGGCCTTCCAATCCTTTCCCAGCGGATATCGTGGCCAAGGCGCAGTCCGAGCTTGACAACTTCGCCGCACTGCTGGAGGGCCTAGGTATTCGCGTCTATCGTCCGCAAAAGGTTGACTGGCTTGAGGCCGGCGGATATACGGGTGCCATGCCGCGGGACGGCTTGATGACGGTGGGCAACACTCTCATCGAAGCTCCCTTCGCCTGGCGCTGCCGTCACCAGGAAATCCAACTGGGCTACTCAGACATCTTGCATCATCTCGGCAGCGGCGGCGGTACGGCCAGGATCTGTCGAGCCCCGGTCGTCGTTGGGCGTGACACGTTGTACGATCACATCTCCAATGGCCTGAACGGACACGTACTAAAGAATGGGAGCCGGATCAACGGAGCTATCAACAACTCCCGCCCGGCCTTTGACACAGCCGACTTCATGCGATTCGGGAAAACAATCATTGGGCAACTCAGCAACGTCACCAACCTCAAAGGGACCCAGTACTTGCAGGCAATGGTACCGGACGGATACACAGTCGAGCTCCTAGACGTCACCGACGAACACGCTATGCATATCGATGCTACTATTCTGCCGCTCCGCAAAGGGTTGCTGGTGTATAACCCCGAGCGCGTCACCGAGGCAAGGCTCCGCCGGCATGCCGTCTTTCGGGACTGGGAGCTGCATGCCTACCCCTTTACTCCGCGCCGGCGCGAGAGTCCCGCTCCGCCCATGTACATGTGTTCTCCATGGCTGGTGCTGAATGCACTGAGTCTCGACGAACGACGCATCATGGTGGAGGAGAAGGATACCGAGTTCGCGGCATGGGTAAGAGAAAAGTTTGATATGGAGCCCATTATGTGCCCCTTCCAGAACGTTAATAGCTTGGGCGGGTCTTTCCATTGTGCTACTGTTGATCTTGTCAGGTCATCATGAGCAAGCATAGGACTTAGTGAGGTCTATTGGTGTTTGTTACCAGGCTAATACACACTTAAACAAATGTTCACTMGAAATCTGGATAAGCAACTGGTGCGATCTACAGTGTAGTCCTCGTATTCCTTAACCTTTTGCTACATGACAGCCCGATGCATAAGCGCCTCAATCGCCCGAGCTATCTCGTTCACCGTCCTCGGGTCCCTTGGCACGACGTGGCCGCCATCGTGCATCACACAGCTGGCCGTGCCCGGGTCGCAGGCGTCCAAGAGCGCCATCGATCCCGCGAGGAAGCTGTCGCGCCTGCCACAGACATGCAGCGACGGCGTGGTCAGCCTAATTGCCCCCGACCTCGTCTCATCCTCGTCCTCCTCGTCGGATGACCCCCCTCCGCTGCCTTCCATCATGGCCTCCTCTACCTCCGCGATGCCGATGCCGTAGGCGTTGAACAGCACCACAAAACGCGCCAGCTCGGGTGACGGCGTCATGACGTCCAGCACCGGCCCCGTCGCCTGCCACCGCCGCTCGTGCCGCATCAGCCAGCCGGCAGCCAGCGTGGCGCCCTGCGAGAAGCCAAAGACGCCGTCGAAAGGCCCGTACTGGTCGGCGAGGTCGTACAGCTCCTCGATGGCGTCGCGCACCGTGGCGACGTCGGCCGTGGTCGGCGGCTTCTGCAGGGCTGGGGACTCGGAGGCGGAGCTGTTGCCTTGGTCGCCGGGCCAGGTGAACCAGCTGTGGAAGGGGCCCGCGTCGGCAAACATTGCGGACAGGCCGGGGCCTGGGGACTTGGTCTCGATGGGGCCGTCGGGGAAGATGAACTCCAAGTGCTGCTCGCGGGAGGATAGCTTTGACAGAAGGGGCGCTGGCGTCGACGTCCGGCGTTAGTAGATGTTTCTGCCTCGATATGGTAGGAGTTGTATTGATACAGCACAGTCAACGCAGACGGGAAGCTTACCTAGCTGTGCTTTCAAAATCTGATGAGCGTCAGTCCTGCTCTCTGTCACATGGAAACATTCAAGTTGTGTTGCTATAGCTGTACCTGTCCCGAACCACCCATGCCATGTAAACAGAGTATCCTACGCTGTGCCATAGCTGAAGCGCGTGTGAACTGTGAACTGCTTGCGGGATACTTTGAATGGAACAATTTTCGGTAAGAAAGGGTTTCCTTTCTTCTGCTGGGCGAAGGCGAAGGCGAGAGCTTACCCTCTGAAAAGACAATACCGGATCAGGCAAGACGGAACTTAGTAGAGTAACGTAAGCTACTGTATGGCTGGATCGGCGTTTCGTGTGCAATACATCCCTTGGGACACGGGTTCGGCGAATTTGCCCCCCTTAGCTGCATACAACACACACCATCCCTGTCAACTCGCCTGCCCAATCATCTATGAATGGTTCTATATTTGTTTAGACGCTATTGGAAACGGCATCAGCCCTCGAAATTGCATTCTTTTAGACGAAGACATGCACTGAGGAGCTCTTTGATGCAGGCATCGTCAGGCCGGAGGCGAGATGGAAAGGAAATACAAGCGATGCCTGTCCTGCAACAGTTGACATTTATGCTCTACAGTACAGAGTAGTTGCACGAGGAAACTGCACGAGGAGAATCCGTCAAACGTATGACTTATGCCAAATTGTTTGGATTAGTCTCTTCTATGTAAGGTTGTGAGCAGGTTCTCCTCCTGCGTGTTCACATCTGACAAGACACTCTCGACTATCATGGCAATGGCACTTGTCCCGCTCGGTTCCATCGCCTTGAAAAAGTCGCTGGCACTCCCTGGCGCCGTTGCATTCTCAACGTACGCCGCGTAGCTCTGCATTGTTTCCCTGAGCCGTTGTACCATCTGCGAAACAACATGAAAGTGCAGTTCTGTGCTGAGTCTTGGGGGGATGGTTAGTCGCAGCCGCCCTAACCGGAACATGGGCATTTCCCCTGTTGGAGCCTGTGGAGTCTGTGGAGTCTGTGGCCTGCCCCAGTTTGAAGCGTGGTATGGCTGGCTTGGTGAAGGCTGTTGCAGCGTCTCAACCAGCAGCTCAAAGACCTGGATAAGCCTCACGTAGCTACTCGAGACCAGGAGTGTCGTGGCAATGTGGGGCTTTGTTGATTTTCGCGGTGGAACCGGCACGCCGGCTTGTGATGAAGAGGACGGGGTGAACATGCCGCGTTCAGCCTCTCGGCTGTAGTCGCTGTCCCGAACTCCACATCGTTGCACCTTTTCAATGATGTCGACTAGGTCTTCCGTGGCCAGGGCGACCTCTTCCATGTTCTTGGTAAGGACAGCCCCGGAAGCAAAGCTGCCTATCCCTGGAGCATTCGGCGTCAGCGCTAGGCAGCTGCTCTCCTTTCCGCTTGTGAGTGATTTTATCAGGTCCGAAAGCTTGACCTGCAGGTCCAGAAGACGGTGCAAGAAGTCGTCTCCTTCAAAAGCCGACATGACTCTTTCTGCTATTAAACCTCGCGGTGGCGTCGGTCGCAAAGCACCGAACGGTACGTGATCAAATGCTGTGGAAGGTGTCGCTGTAATCTTCCCCCCCGGCTGCTCTCCCACGACTGAAAAATCGACAAAGTCGCCGGCGCCCAGCATTTCCAGGCCTTCGAGCCCTGGTGGGCACAGCGTCACTGTCTCCAAGTCCTGTGCGGCCCCCAAGCGGTAAGGGTCCTCTTCGAACAGAGGTTCCTCCGTCCTTACTTGGATGGTCGGCTCGAGGGGGGGGAGTTGAGAGGCGAAGGTGGGTTCTGCTGCAGTAATCGACATTGGATGTGAGGAATGCCATAGAAGGACTAAACCATCTCACCTTCAGTTGTGGCTTCTCTCGACTGTTTTTGTCGCTTGACGCCCAACTGCACCGCTCCCATGGCGCGGCTGCTGCGGTCTACAGTACCTGTTTTGCGGCCCAGCGGCCGCCCTACTTTCAGGGCCGGACTATATTCACAAGAGACGCGCATTCGCTGGCATCGTTGACATTCTCCCGACTGTTGCAGCCGCACACATCGTGTTTTCATAGAGTGACAGCGGTCACATGCATCTCGGGTGCTCGTACTCGGCTCCGGCATCTCGTTGTTATCCATCTTTAAGGCGATAGGGGAAATTAAGATGTCCAACCACAGGTAGAAGGGAGATTTTTGAACAGCACCGAGCGGGTGCAAGAGGCTGCTTAACGGCGTCAAATGACCCGGGGGATGCCCACTTTTCCAGTTTCCCCGTTTCCGTCTTCGTCTTCCGACATGCATACTACATTGACTAGTTAATGAGACGCAAGGCCGCCGAGGGTGAGATTCTCACTTGGCTCCCCGGAAGGAAGGGTCAGACCACGCTCGATCAGCGGGATATTTCAGAAACATCCGCCCCATCGCCCCATCGAACGCAATCTATGGACTCTCTCAATGCTCAAACGGACCCCTAGTTAGTTAACATGCTAGATAGCAGCTTAGTCAGCACTAAGCCTGCGTACTTTGGGTAGGTACGTTGGTTAGGCCTGCCATTCCAACCAAAACAAACAGAGGTGAGCATTGGCGGTTAATCAGTCTCTATGATTGGTGTTTTAATATAATATTAATACCCTCTATGAACTGCCCTGGTTCAGGGGTGTTATTTGAACCTGGTCTTTCAATCCTCTTTTGGCCCTGAATGCCACCAAACCATATCGAAAGGGACAACCTTTTTAAAAAATTTACGTAGACAAAAAGGCACAGATTGTGATAATTCTCAATTCCCAGATATGGGTGTCAAATGTAGGACCTGATGACCTCTAATAAAGTATGATGCTTCGGACTTCGGAGCGGTGCCCTGTCAAAGAGGGGAATCATGCATTCATGCTGGTATTTTGACGGCCTAGTCTAAAGTTCTTGGCCCATTATGTGAAGCCAATCAATCCTTCTACAGAGTGCATAAACCAGCCTCAGMCGCGACCTCCCGCAGGAGGCAGATTATTTTTACACCCAGAATGCCCTCCGGCCGACCATGGCCGATTGGGTAAATCTACCTTGCTCCACCTTCAGCGTGTCACCATGACTGCAGCCTTCGCCCCTAATATCTGATACAGTACCTGCTGCGCTGCATCTATTTTCCGGTCTCAACCAATCGTTCATGGCGCTCACAGGAGTTCCATGATGACACGGCGCACTCAGTGACCGGGGCCGCGGATGGTGGAGCTACGGAACTCGGACGGACAAGTAACCAACTGATGTAGATCCAGGGGGATAGATGTTTGCACCCAGTCGGAGGTGACCACATGGCGGCTTTTGTTGGCCAGAATGCCGTTTTTATGCTTCGGCTGTGGCGGGCCCGTTGTGCGCGCGGATTGCTCTTCGCGAAGAATGACGATTCAATATTGCCGCGGCGCATGTGGTGGTTTAATGAGCCTGGTGCGAAGGTGGATGGGCTCAAGGTCCCTGGAGCTACTGAGGATTCTCGATACATCAATAGTAATACGGAGTAACGCTTGACTCTTGGAAAGGAGGATCAAGTCCTCTTTGTCTCGCTTATGCGCTATCCTTCCTTAGAATACACACTTTCAATCGCATCTTCAAACCTCAAGTACACCTGCGCCCGGATCACGCTCCCTTTGGCCGTCCGAGGCACGGTCGCGCCGCGCACCAGCTTTACCATCTCCTTGTCCAATCCCACCTTGAACGTACCATTGATATCGCGCTCGATGCCATTCCAGACGCGGCCAAGAATGTCGCGATCCGACACGGCGCAGCCTGCCTTGACGAAGACCAGCACGCCGGGCTTTGGCCGGTCCTCGCCAAAGACCACGGCTTCATCGACAAGGTCACTGTTGGCCAGCTTGATTGCCTCCTCGTAGGGAAGGGCGTTGATGCACACCAGGTCGTCTCCCGGATACGTCTTGACGACGTCGTCCCGTCGACCCACGGGCTTCCACCGCTCCAGCGTTGGGTGCTTGAGGAAGAGGTCACCCGTGTGAATGGAGCCGTCCTCGCGGTTGGCCCACTGCTTGTCCTGGAGCGGGTGACTGGGCAGGATGACAAGCTCATAAAGCTGCTCGCCGTCGCTGCTGCTGGCGCCGGCACTGTCGTCGCCGTCGAGTGGCAGGAATGCCATGTGCGGCTTGTTGAACTGGCTGGGCTCAACGTATTCCCAGTCCTCGTCGCCTGGCGGCCGAGTGGCCGAGTTCATGCCGCACGCCACTTCCGACATGCCGTACTCGTTTGTGAGCCGCACTCCCCGCTTGGTCAGCTTGTCGCCGAGCTGCTTGGGGAAGACGCCTCCGATGACGGCCACCATCATGCATTGCGCGAGTATATCGATGCTTTTCTCGTCAGATACGACTGTGCTGAGGAGAAAGGGGACGAAGTAGGCAATATTCGGCCTTGCTTCCTCGAGAAGCTGTCTGTAGTTCTCCGAAGAGAGCGGCAGCGTCTCGTTGGCGTAGAAGGCCGGCCGGGTCTTCATGAACGACATCAGCACAGTGAAGATGCCGACCATATAGTAAAACGAGGAGCCGACGAACACGGACAGCCCAGCACTTGGCGGCAGCGAGTTGAGCGCCATCATCAGCTCGCGATGAGTCTTTGGGATGAGCTTGGGCAGACCCGTGGTACCGGATGAGTGCACGATGAAGGCGACTTCGCTCGCCCCTGTCGTTGCCCAGTCGCTGCTCCTGTCTGCATTGCCGGTGCTCTTTGTCGATGCCTTCTCCGCGGATACTTCCTCCACGGAAGCTAGGGGGATGGTCTGTGCCGGCAGTTGAGAGTTGCCTGGGCCAAACGACTCGCTAATCAAATATCTGCAGGCAGCCTTCTCCAGAAGCTTTGCGGTTACTTCCTCGGAGAGCGTTGGCGCGACGGCGAAGATCGTGTGGCCCATCTGTAGCACGGCGACAAAGGTGACGACCCATTCGATTGTCGAACTTGCCTGTAGCCCAATAACTTTCGGCTCGCCACCGTCTTCTCGCCGCGGGATTCCGCGGTGCTGATAGAACGTGGCCGCATCGTGTGCTAGCCGTATAATCTGGTGAGGGGTGTAATATGACAAGTCGGCCCCAACGCGCTGAAAGGCCATCACCTTGTCTTCCCTATGCGTGCATTGGGCCAAGTACTCTTGGATTGTGCTGGACTGTAGTGCCCCCTTTGAGGCCACCATCTCTGGCGTGTTGACGGTCATGTTGATTGCGGTGCGGAACGGGTTTCCACAATCTGAGGTCTATCTTCCAGGAGTATGCAGTATTAAAAGCGGAGGCCCCCCGCTGTGAATTTTCTTCATTTTGGCCGACGCCAAACGAACGGCGGGTTTCAATATTAATGCATTCCTTGGTTGTAAGGATCGGAGCAATTCCCTCAGCCCACTCCAATTCGCCGATCATCCTCGGCTGGACTTGAAAATCACCGTTCACACCAACTTCATCATTCCACTTCAAAAGTCGATAAGGCCTACTCCGTTTCGATTGAAAGCCCCCGGCTGGAGGGCGGCTCCGGGTTAGCCCCATGTAAGAAACATCCAAGGTTCGATACAGCTGCTGATATCTGTAGTTGTTGGTGTTCCATAAGCCGCACATTTCCCTTAGGTTACGGCTTGGAGGCATCGTTGGTGTTCTTACCCCTTTCTTTGCAGCTTAGTGATTCTTTTCTCGCCTACAACCCACAAGCTCCAACATTACATGGCCTTGTCTATTATCACCAATCTGAGCACCCTGAGCACGCCAGCGCTCTGCGGTTGGCTCACAGCCCTCCTTGCCATAGGGTACGTCGTGAGGGCCATTCAGACATGGTATCCTCTCAGGCACGTCCCGGGACCCCGTCTTGCCTCCTTCTCTTACCTCTGGATGCTGTGGAACGATATCCGGGGCACGAACTTCGAGAAGTACGCCAATTTCGGCAAGTATGGCTCTCTCGTCCGCAACGGCCCCAGGTCTCTGGTCACAGATGACCCGGAAGTCCTTCGGAAGATATCTGGCGCTCGGAGCCGGTACACAAGGGACGAGCACTACTACTCGGCCAGCAGGGTCGAGGCAGATAGGGAGAATATGATTACGATCCTCGACACGGCTAGACACGACGCCTGGAAGGCTAAAGTGGCCAGTGGTTACAGTGGAAAGGAGAATCCGGATCTCGAACAAGCGGTCGACGCACAAGTCATGCGACTGGTTGATCTGATTCGGCGCAAATACCTCTCTACCAGTGGCAATCTGCGTGCCGTTGACTTCGCCCTGCTCAGCCGATACTTCACGACCGACGTCGTCAGCCGTCTCGGCCACGGCAAGGCGATAGGCCACCTAGACGAAGGAGAGGATGTGTTTGGGTGGTTTGGCGATGTTAAGAAGCTCATAGTATTCCTGATAGCCACGGATATCCCGTGGATCCGGAGGGTTGTCATGTGGAAACCCTTGTTCCGCCGCTTTGGGCCGAAGCCCACCGACAGAAGAGGCATAGGAAGAGTTCTAGGGTACGAACTCCCTCTTAGTCCAGAATCATAACGGACCGTTCGACTACAAGTTGTGCTAATTCTGCCATTCAGGTACACGCGGAACATTATTGCAGAACACTTCGAGAAAGACGCAGAGCCTCATCAAGACATGTTTGTAAGGACTTTGATCTTGTCAATGCTGCTTTGAATCTTTGACGACTGTGGATCCTCCGATCTAACTCCGGTATAGGGCGCGTTCATACGCCGAGGCCTTACAAAGGAACAACTGGAAGGAGAGGCTGTGCTGCAGCTTGTGGGAGGCTCAGATACAACAGCTACCACTATCCGCGCGGTTATCTTGCATCTTGCTACCTCACCCTCTGCTTACAACCAGCTCAAGGCCGAGTAAGTACTCTAACGTCAATTCTAGCCCCAGTAGAGGGATTCGATGATTCTATAGTCCCAGGTTCCTGGAATTTTTCAAATCACAAAATCTGACTGCACTCCTATTGCGCAGGATAAAGGAAGCCATTTCACAGGGCCGAGCTTCATCTCCAATCACCCTTCAGGAAGCCCTGAAGCTGCCCTACCTACAGGCCGTAATCTGGGAGGGCTTCCGCATGAGGACTCCCGTGACCTGGGGGCATTACAAAGTCGTCCCTCCGGAGGGCGACACCATCAACGGGCTGTTCATCCCCGGAGGCACGGCCATCGGGCACAACTCATTGGCGCTCGCACGGCGCAAGGACATCTGGGGCGACGACGCAGCCGTCTTCCGGCCGGAGCGCTGGCTCGAATGCAGCGCTGAGAAGAAAATGGAGATGGACCGCGCGGTTGAGATAGTCTTTGGCGGGGGTCGGTGGATGTGTGCTGGTAAGCCGATCGCCGTCATGGAGTTGAATAAAGTCTTCTTCGAGGTGAGACTCCCCAGTCACGGCCTCTTGCTGGTATGCCATGCCCACCAGCCCAGCTGACGCAGAATGTCATGGTACAGTTKCTTCGGGTATTTGACTTTGCGCTGGTGAACCCCGTAATGCCGGTGAAGGAGACGGCTCTTGCGGGCTTCGTCCATACGGACATGTGGATGAGGTTTACAGAGGCGAAAGCATAGACAAAGAAGCGTACAGTAGACGTTTGACAACTAACTTGAAGTAACGGAGGCCAGATGACAGCATGATGCCTCATTTACCTGTCAAGTAGCCTATAGACTTTGACCCTTGGGGCCGATTGGCTATATTCCTGGCCTTGTGAGATCCAGACTATTTGATGTTAGTAAACCTTGCTGTGCAGCCTGTGCCTGTGTGGCTTAATTTTCACCACAGCATGTCATGCACACTTGACAATCATAACTTGACCCTAAGTCTTCCGGTCTGGAATGGAGACTAAATCAAAGAAAGTCTAACGTCACCCCAGACTATGAACTTGCTAACAATAATCTGTTGGTTGGCGCTCCTCGCCATCACATTGAGATACGCCGTCTGGTACATGTTGATACTCCAAAAAGCACTGCGCCTCAAAGGTTTGATGCGTCTGCCAAGTGTCTGGATCATGGTACCGCACCATCTTGTGAATCTCCTTAGTTTTAATATTGCTCGACAAACTACCTCACTTCCACGCTTCCAGAGATTCGATAAGCACTTACGGAATGCTTCGAGCTCTTGGCTCGGTTTGCTCCACGGGCTCCTGACTAAGATTTTGCTTTCCCGCCCACAGGAATGTCTCTCCCATCGTCTCTACCAGTGGAAGTTGTCAAACAGTATGCGCCTGCTGCGGCATTCCGTCAGTACGAAAAGTGGCTGCCGTGCAGCGTCGAGTATTTGTGCGGCGGGACCACATCATTAAATTTCCCCAAGTGGTCGCAGTCAGTTGCTATACCTCACCAGCACTGCATTACTCCAAAAGCGACCGTTTTCAAGGCGACTATGTCCTTGTGTACAAGAGTTATAACAGCAATAATATTTACGTAACTAGTACCAGAGATCCCGGGGATGATGGAGAGGACAACTGGGATGTATTCCACTTGGACGACCAAGCAGCAATCCAAGCTGACTTGGACTGTTGTGTGTTCAATAATCAGCTCTGGATTGTTTACACCGGCAGTTCCTCGGGCCAGTTGTATGTGACGTGGAGCTCGGACCTTAAAAATTGGGACTTTCAGGAGATTCCTCACCAACACGCATGCGGTGTCTCATTGACCGCCATGGTCGACAGGATTGTTATGGCGTACAGCTCTTATAGCAGCAGTCACATGATATGGGCCTACTCAACTAATGGAAAGGATTAGAATGGGGGCCAGATTGGAGGAGAGGTCACCAACACCACGCCAGCTCTCGTCGCTCAAGGCGACACTGTTATATGTCTGTTTGGGTCTTCTGACAGAGATGGTCACCTACGCCAGACCACATATACGGTACTTGGTGCTGGACATCTAGTACAGAGATACCAAATCAGAGGGCCTCGCAGGTTGCTATTGCTGTGGACGATTCTGAAAAGCTGTTAATAGCATACAGTGAGATGCACAGCTCTCAGTTCTGGGCGTCCGAAAGTTCAGACGGTGTCACCTGGACCAACCCACAAGAGATCCCAAATAACGGATCTATTCCATCTCTMACATTCTATCAGGGCCGTTTCTGGTTATCCTGGTGCGGCACAGATTCCAATAAGTCATTCTGCAATTGTTACTTCGCCCCGGATTTATCCTATAATTTTATGCCCATTGCAAACCCAACACAAGCGGCACTCGAGACCAATTCATCTGTCGACTTCTACCTCGATATCGGTAATTCTGTCTGGGGTGGACAACCTTTGAAAAGCGCGCCCATGTACTTCGCCATTCAAGGAAATCAGGGACAAGGTACAATTACCATTCACTATATCTTCCTACATGCATACCAACCGGGCCAAACATTCCGCCTAATCAGCTCAAGCCAATTCGATTGTCTCCTTTGGGATCTGGGATATCACCAGAGCGATGTGGAGCATTTCGCGGTCACACTGAAACCAGGTAGCGAGCCAAATTCACTCACCATCCAAAGTTTCATCTTCGAAGCAGATGGAAATCAAGTGTCCTACACACCGGACCAAGTGTCTTTTGCCGATGGACCGAACGGTACTCATGCTTGTAAGTATACTTTCCCGCGATGTATTCCGCCATGCTGCACTGCCTCCCCCATCTAAACTATTTCAGGCAGCTGACAAAGGGCGAAAAAGTGGCCTCCATTGCCCTTGCTGGCCACGGAATCTGGAATCGCAAGGCATTTTCTGATAGCTTTGTCGTCCAGTACGAGCAAGATATCCCAGTTATCGGTGTTCAACTCCAAATCGGCCCCTTCTTCGATCAAGATACCGCAAAGGACCAAATATGGCGCCCCTAGGAGATGTCTGACAGAAATTGGAAACAGCTGGGACTCGACACAAACCTGAAACCGATCAGCGATCAATTTTGGTCGACGTTTCAGGGAAGGCTTGGAATCTCAAAGACCACCTCCTTATTAGGAGGGAGCTACTTGAATGGTGGCGACCTCAATTTCGGTAACTGGACCTTGGTGAACGGGATCTTTTTTGGTGCGGTTGTTCTCAATAAAATTCCTGCCAACCTTCTACAGGCAGACGGACCAGTTGGGCCGGGCTCGAGGGACTGGGCCCGTAATGCGATTCCGGTGACAACGGCTAAGATGTAGGAGGGCAAAGCCTGCAGCGAGCTTCGCAGGCACACAAGGATGAAGGTCTCTGAATATTGCAAACCACCACACACTCATGTAGTCCCTTCGTCTTCAGCTTCAGATTTCGAACAAATACCTAATGACTTGCATAACATTGTCCTGTTCTTTGCGTCTTTGTCGGATCATATTTGCACACTGATTGCAATTTATGGTCGACGCTGGCAATTGGCCCAATTGGTCATATCCCTCAGCTCCACTTTCGTCTGCATGCGAGTTACATGTACAATCACACGCAGCGTCTCTAATTTGCTCACTGTATACTTGACTTTCCATAGTTTACCCAGAATGCCACAGTTAAATAACCTCACAATTCCTTAGTAGGCTTCTTTAGTGCATACGGTAATCAATGGTATCAACAAGCTTCGCCTGTAAATCTGGACTACTGTTTGAGTCTGATATGTTTCTCAGAACGACCCTGCCTCGCTCTTTGAATGTTGTCGGTATACTAATGGTTATACATGATGGGATGACAAACCTCATCCTGGACCAACTTGTCTCAAGTTCATTGTCCGCCACTAAACATTCCCATGTAATGTGATGCAAATAGATCTGTGAATATTCTCACACAATTTTGTGCCTTTGACTACGAATTCCAACACCATATGTATTTACAAATTGAGACGCTAATTCCCTAATCATAGCCATATAATTGCAAAGCTATAGTACCCAACTGCATTGACTGTGCATGAAATAGTTCTGCGAGAAGTGTAAGGTTGTAATTTCTGGGAAGTTCCCATCCTCTGGTTCAATGGTAAGTCTATAAATGTTAACTCCATAGAGTTCTAGTAAAGGTGTGATCAATAGAATACCTCCTTAATCCACTCAGATATCTGCTCCTTTATAACAAGGAGTTGATCTACTTCCGCCACAGCATTATCTAGCTCATGACTAGACACTATTTTCCTACTCTAAATATTTCCTCTTATATAATTCATTCTCATTTTAAATAGCAGTGCTAAGACAAGCAGAGTCACCCTTACCATTATTCAAAAAGAAAGCACTTTCACTGCCACCATAAGACCCTTTAATAATAGTCTTAACCAGAGTATAGAATTCCATATTAAGTCTATATAAATTTAGCTTAGAGAGGATCACATAGTTCCACGGTCAACAAGCTCTTTATTTATAGTATTTAATAGTTAATATACTTCTTCCCAGACTTTAGGCAAGACACACCTAAGAGTAATAGCCTAATAGGAGTACTAAACTTCCTTTAGGATACTTATAAGGAAGCTAAAATAAAAAGACAGTGTTTAGCATTACAATATTTCTAATCACATATTTAAACCTTTAATAGTGATGCCAAGTAATTCAAATATTATACCCAGTTAGTGATATTCATTATGACTAACTATGTAACTAAACATTCTCACAATATCAGTATTAGCTTCCAGCCTTCCATAAACTAACTAACAGATTAACTACCAAATATCAAGGGAGAGGATTCTCTAGCTGTTAGATATTGCCTCCAATATAAAATTATTTTAGTTATGTATGCCACGGGCTAAAAGCCGGTCAATCTATAACCTAGGTTTTGACGGTAAGAAATCGCTAGGGAGTCCTAAGTTCTAACTAGGGCCACAGCGGCTGATATAAAAGATAGGTGTAAATAGGAGACAAGGTTATATAACAGAGTTGGTTAGTATATTGATTAGTACAGGGTTACATAATTAAGCTGGTGTCTACTTTAGATAGGACTTTATTAGTGCCTAAGGCTGCATGTAAGTGCCTGGTAAGCTTAAGTATTTAGTAGGCCCTGCTTACTATACTACCCCCCCTTCAGAGTAAGGCTAATGCCTCTCCTATATATTAAGTTCTGCTGTATCAGCAAGGTTAATAGCTAGCTCCTATATAGGGTATTTATAGCCTACCTATTTAACTAAGTACTAGAGTGGCATAACCAACCCGCAAAAATCGAACCCAAACCTTACCGAACTCGCAGCGGTGCGGGGTCGGGGGCAAGCCTAGGGAATTGCTTTAGGTTTGGTTAGGCTACCCTGGACCTGATCTAGGTTAGGTGAAAACCGCGGTTTTTGGTTTTTATAGTTTTTTGAGTTAGGTTTAACCAACCCACACTGTTTTGCCTAGAAATCATTGAATTCTAAATATCCTTAATTAATATTAGTATTGCTAGATAGCCTGAATCAAGGGCTATCTAGTGATATAAATATCATTTAAAAATACCTAGTGGTTGCTGAGATATAAGGGAATAATCATCTCTGTCATAGGTTGGTATAAAAGTAGTACACAGAGATATTTATAAGGGCACCAGGGTCTGAGAACTACTATACCTTTTAAATAATTTTTAACTACCACCCATCCAACCCTATAGATATCAAATCGATATTTTAGATCTAGATTAGTATGATGATAATTACTATATATTTTATATAAAAATTATAATATAATTTTATATAAGCATGCTTGATATGGGGCCTCAGAGGGGGACTTAAAGGGGGGAATGGTAAGGGTTAAAATGGTTAAAATTTGCGGTTTAACCAACCCGAAACCAAACCGAATCTAACCATAGTTAGTTAGTATAGCCTATCTAGGCCTAGTAGCGGGTTTTTGCGGCGAAAACCGCACCAAACCGTATTGGGTTCGATTTGGATTCGATTTCTAAAATTTCAACTCGAAATCGCAGCGGTTCGGTTCCAACTAAGGTTGGACTCGCCCGAACTCGCACCAAATGCAACTCTAGTCACATGACCACCCACACTAGGTCCCTTACAGGCCGGCTTCTGTTTTTTTTGCCGACAATGATCGTATGAGATGAATATAATTGGCATCAACAATGATTGGCAATGCTACAAGAAGCTTGCTTTGAGCCGAGATTGTTTGGATTTTGCGCCAAGCTCATCCTGTGCAGGAGACTTTGTTGCTACGGGGGCGGAGTGGATCAGCATCCAGCACCATACTACATCCAGAAGGGCAGGTATCGGGCTCAAAGCTAATCTGGGACCTAATTCAAAGCTCTGCCTATTGCGTACGAGGATGACAGCACGGAAGGATAAGCATGAGCGGGGTCTACCACCTAACACGGGCTGGGTTAGGCGGATTCACGCCCTGGCATTCCTGTTCGCGGAAACGGGGTTGGCAACAAACACCAGTCTCTGCAACCCTGCATGCCTCGGAATACCACTCAATAATCCTACAACCCGCGAAAATCAACTGGCTATACCTATACATGGACATCCTTCCCCAGAGCGACAGGAATGGGTGCTCCGACAATACCCTGATGCACTGCTGGCATTCATATCTTCCTGGATAAAATAGCTCAGTTTCAAGCACTAGCAATTGTCGTGGGATTACAATCACCACTCCAGCTATGACGACTATCATGTCCAGCCCTGAAATCACCCCGTCAGGAAGACACAATATGTACCCGCCGCCTCGGTCGTTTCCGCTCGGAAAGGCGAACATCTCTCAGCCCTCTGAGGAGCTCCATGTCCGTAAATCGCTCCCCGTCCCGCAAACCCATCCAGTAACGCTCGTCTAGGCTGTTAGCACTTCACTACCGACTTGGGACATGGTGTTGGCCATGGCCCGCAAAGAGAGTTGGATATTAGAGACGGTCGAATGGGGCTATCCACGGTAAGGCAACCCGATATATCGAGCACTGGCCAGGTGGGAGTAGCTAACGGGTGCGAAGATTCAATATAAACACTCATGTCAGGGACCTCTCGAATGCCGTCCTAAGCCGACTCCGGGTGACTGATGCACAGATACGATGTATGGTATTCAGTTCTGGAAGAGCGGCTCAACAATGTGCTACGGTCCTCAAGGCCTCCTGGATGGAGCGCTCGATGGTCGAGGTAGTTGACTTCGTCATGTCTCCTGCCTCTGACGTGGAACATGGAACGGCCTATTGGGCGCAGTTCTCGGTGATATTATTCCCGGATGCGCTGTGGAGCGAGGCCATGAACTTCTGGCGTGATACTGGTACTGGGATTTCCACACGACATGCTCTTTTCTGTCTCGAGGAATTATGCTACCTGGAGTCCAAGTCCCCCAACCCGGCATACCAAACTGCCCCTCCATGCCAAAGGGGGAGCCAGCCCAGCTCCCCACTCCACATGTCGGTGCGCTCGGCTCTCGCTAGCATCCCCGTAGTAAAATCATTTATCGCGCAGCTAGCTACCTCTGAGCAGCCCGGGCAACCTCCGGTACAGTCGGGGGATGTTTTCCTGTACCCAAATGGGACAAACGCGATATATGTACTATCGCAGATGTTGGCCTCGTACAAGGCAGAATCCACAGTTGTGGCATACGGGTATGGCCACCCAACCCCCCTCCCTGTTCCGAATAATGACATGGCCTTATATCCGGCCCTCTAGGTGGCTATATCCCGAAACAGTCAAGGCACTCCACCGATGTGCTTGGAAAGAATGCGTCTCATATAAATACGGAACGGAAGCGGAGTTGGATCAACTGGAGAGCATGCTTGCCTCCGGTCGACGGGTTGATGCACTGTTTTGCGAGCTGCCGAGCAATATCAAACTGTCCTCACCCAACGTTTTCCGGATACAAGCCCTTGCGGAACGGTATGGTTTTATCATCGTGTGCGACGACACAGTTGCCGGTTATGTGAATATCGATGTTCTTCCTTACGTGGACGTTAGCGTTTCAAGTCTGACAAAGACTTTCAGCGGGGCTTCGAACGTCACTGGAGGATGGTATGTTTTAAAAGAAGCCCTTCGTTTCCGTGGCACTGGACAGCACTGACGATTCGTAGCCTTGTGGTCAACCCCAGCTCTCGCCATTACAGTAGAATTCATGGAGATTTATACGCGGAGTATGAGAGTACCTACTTCCCGATGGACGCGGACGTTCTCCGGAACAACAGCAAGGACCTGGTCTGGCGGATGAAGCGATGCAGTGACAACGCACTTTCTCTAGTGAATCTACTCCAGAGTCACCCATCGATCGCTCAGGTCAACTATCCTTCCACATCGCCCACTGGGTCGTTATATAAGCGCCTGATGCGCAAAGGCGGTAGCGACGGCAATGTCTTGAGTATCGTTTTTCGGGACCCACGCAATGCAGAGCACTTTTATAATACCCTGCAAGTATGTAAGGGTACAAGCTTTGGAACAAATTTTACCTTGGCTCTTCCATATGTTCAGTTGGCAAACTACCTGACCCGTGACAAGGTCGGGAAATACGGTGTGCCACAGCATATTATTCGGCTGAGCGTTGGACTTGAGGACAAGAAACAGCTTCTCCAGGCTGTGGCTACTGCCCTTGGAGAAGTCGAAAGGCTTGAACCTTGAATATCTAAATCCTAATTATGCCATGATTCTTCGCCCGCCAAGCACGCTCCGTCTACGTACAAATCAAGGATCGTCATTGTTGTCAAGCAGTGAACCGTACTGTTCCGTCAATCCATGGATTAGGCCCCGATCATACAATCATATACAGCTTAAACGCCAAAGTCCTTTATAAAATTGAAACCAGCAGCCATGGCCATGGCTACCGGGGCTGGTGTACTGGCCATATTGACCGTATTTGGTCTGTTAGACCAGCTCTCTGTATGATGTTGTAGCTCTTCTGCTTCGCTGCCTCGATAATCGCCTCTTCATCCATAGTCAGTACTTTCCCACGGTCGACGATCAGCTGCCCGTCCACTACCACCAGTGTCACATCGCGTCCTGTCGCAGAATATACCACATTACTGACTGGGTTATTGCAAGGCTGTAGGTGCGGCTTCCGCATATCGATAGCGATAAAATCAGCCTTTTTCTCGACTTCCAGGCTTCCTATCTGGTCCGCAAGGCCCAGGGCCCTTGCCCCATTGATTGTCCCCATCTCCAGGATGGTTTCTGCGCGAAAAAGTCTCGGGTTATTGGATATACTCCTCTGGATGATTGCGGCCAGCTTCAGCTCCTGCAACAAGTCGCAGGTATTCTGGCAGGGGGCCCCGTCTGCGCCAATAGCGACATTCACGCCTGCTGCCACTAGCTCTGGCACCCGGGCGATTCCCGACGCAAGTTTGGCATTCGAGGTTGGGCAATGCGCAATGTGAGCTCCCGAAGCGGCCAGCTTGGGGATGTCATCGCTTTTATCCAAATGGACCATGTGAACCAGCACCGTCGACGGGGTCAGCAGTCCTACTGACTCGGCCCAGGAGACGGGCGTATGGCCAAGCGAGACGAAGGAGTTGTATTGGAGTTTGGTTTCTGCGCAATGGATTGTAATTGGAATACCATGAGAATGGGCGGCTGCTGTCATCTCTTTAAATCGACCATCGGCGGCACTGACAACGGTTCTGGTTATACATGTGCTTGCTTCTGTGCAGATAAATTGCGCCACTTACAGTCCTGGGGTGAGGGCCCCGAACCAGATCCGAATCCGGTCATTTGCTGCGCCATTCCAGTTCTTCCATGAATGTACTACGTTGGCTATGGAACGTTCGGCGGCATTTTCAGCTGAGGTCGGTAGGGGGGCCATCTGGCCTAAGCATCCCCGGATACCGCTGTCCTGGACCACCAGACAGAGCTGGTTAAAGTCATGATGCTCCAAGAACTGGGCACAGAAAATGTCAGCGGTATCCCAAAGGTGCTACTAGGAACACACGCACGCACACACCATACTCTCCAGAAAACACGTCGTGCCAGATTTGAGCATCTCTACCACACTTAATTGCACCCCGACCGAAGCCTCTTCAGCCGTCATGCTGCGCTGTAGGGGACGGATTACATCCGCTAGCCATGATTCTAGTGCCTCGTTGTCTGCTGTGCCCCGTAATAGTGACTGGATCGTATGCGTGTGTGTTGATATGAGCCCTGGGACGACGATGTGTCCACTAAGGTCATACTCTCTTTCGAGGGGATATCGTCTCCGAAGTATGCTGGTCGCGTCAAGGTCCGCAATGATATTGCCACGTACATAGATCGCACCGTCTTCAATGATGCGCCGCGCGGGGTCAACAGTGATAATGGTTGCGTGAGTGTAGAGCATGGTAGGCCTGGAAATCCTAGCGCTCTTGGGCTTCAGACTCTAGAACACAGGATACAGAAGGGGGGAGAAAACCAGCCCTGAGAGTTTTAACTAACGCCTTTGGCCGTATACCTGCTCTTCCTACGTTGCCTGGCCGATCCCTCAAAAGCATCCCTGGTTGTAGGACCCTCTCCGCGAGGCTTTTGTAGGGAATTTAGTGGGTCGGATTCCGGAGGCGGCGAATGCAACCTCTTCATCCTGCCAAGGATTTTGGTGGCTACAGCTGTCAGAATGTCTACTGAAACCGTCAGCTAAGACCATCATGACCCATGGTATGGCATCTGTCGCTCCAGACAGATAGGAAGCTAACCAACGCCGGCCAGGGAATTGGAATCCAGTCAACCAAGTCATGACAGTGGAAAGCTTGCTCATATTACAGGGCCCAACATGAGTACCGGCTAACGCTGCGCATTTTGTTGCCTCGAAAAAGATACTGCGACATTTGTCGTATTAATCAGTTAGTTAATATCGCTGGCATGCCAGCTTTTCCCATCATACTTCCTCTCCTCTTCCTGGTCACTTTTCTTAGCCGCGTAAGGCATCCCTGCGTCATCGTTGCGTCTACCGTATGGCTACTGTAACCAGCCACTTACAGAACAGCCAACAGATCATAATCCAGTGATGGGACGCTCCTCTATCGTCGCTCCCCGGGCCTGTAATGTCCAAATATATAGACATTATCCTAACGTACCCTTGGCCTATTGGCAACAAAGCAAAATACTGCATTTGCTACTTTAAAAATACTGATATATATATATTTCAAGAGGCTGGGGATACTAGATTTGTTCCTCGGCGCTGGGAACGACCTACCAAGGAGATGGAAGATGCATTCATGCCATTTGATGGCGGTGCTCGCACCTGTCGGGATCATGTGGCTAAGGCTGAGCTTCGACTGGCAACGGCGCTCTTCTTCCGCAAGTTCCCCAAGGTAGTCATCTCTGTGGAAGAGGGAATGGGCGTAGATGATATGGACCAGATCGCCTATTTCTTGATATCACCGCGGAGGGCAAGCAGCGCCTGGGGGAGGCTTGGTAGCCGCCTAGATCTCCCGTGCTTGTAGAGAACCATAAAAAGTTCGGAGGGTTTCCATCGCTTCACCATTGAATATGCATGCTGCTGGATGCAACCACTGTCTACGAGCCAGCCTGTCTAGTGGCAATGGTTCAGAATAGCATATTTCGAAGCTGCGAAGGAGCTATCATCTTGCCTATTCCATGGTCCCAATTTTCCGCTCTGTGGATGTAGCAGTTTCCTGCCGATCCTCCAGCCTCATTAAGAGGGGTCGCATTTCCTGTCAACCAGCAGGAAAATTAGAGGCTTTGCCCCGTATCCCTCGGTAGAAGACGCAACCGGAAGGCCTGTAGAGTACCAAGGACCCACTCTGCAGCCAAGCTCCTTCCCCCCGTTATAGGTCGTGTTCATGGTTCACATATGCCCCTCCACAGGGAAGAAACTGGGGGCATACCATGTAGAGCATTTAGAGATCGAGAGTCCACCGACCCTGAGGGATCAACGATAAGATTAGATTCTGGGAAAGTCATCGCTGCCTTTGTCGAACCTTTTGCGAGGTAGGGACAGTTGGGAGATGGCATTGTACTTTCGGGCTCACTTATAGTCAGTCACCGAACCTATGGGTTCTGACAGAAAGCACGCCATACTTTACCAGGTCCAACAGAACCACTTGAGAGGCAACGTTTTCGGAAGTTGCTCAGGCCTTTCCCAAGTAGACTATAATGAGATCGTTGTTGTTCATGACATTGAAGTCTTCAGCATGTGTGAACATCATCTAATTCTGTTTATGGGCAAAGTTGGAAGATTTTTGCGTATGATATCGCTGCAATAGGGCTGACCGACCGATCTCGCAGGTCCATATTGGGTATATCCCCAATGATCAGGTGCTGGGATGTCCAAGTTGGCTCGCATTGCAGACGTCTATGCGAGATAACTGCAGACCTAAGAGCATCTGATACCGCAGATTGCTCAGGCTGTTAATCAAATCCTAAAGCCACAAGGGGTGGCAGATGCTATTAAATCTGCCCATATGTGCATGGTGATGAGAGGGATCCAGAAAACCAGCTCGGTAACTACGGCAGGCTCTCGGACGGGGCATTTTCCGGAAGGATAAGGACACTGAAGAGCAGTTTCAGTTTCTCCTCAAGCTACGGCAATAAGGCTACATAGAGCCTTATTCGTTCATCCAGGTAATAATGGAATATTGTATCGAATGATTCGCACTATGCACCCAGATCAGGGAACTCGTGTGACACGGCCTATATTACTTGGGGCGTTTTAATCCGTAACTTTTGGGTTTATTTTAAGGCATATCATTATTTTTTTCGTCATTCCATCTGCTGGAACACAACTGCATTAGAGGGTTGATCTGTATGATTCTGATGAGTGGTGTACAGTAGCACGAAAGCCACGGGGAATTGGCAGAAGCCATTGCTCTATCATCGCATCGGCAGCAGATGATGATGTATCCCAGTCACCCTAGACTATGGGAAAATCTATCGCCGCGAACTTGTTGGCCACTGGCCCTTGTGCACGCTGGCTATCCGATTCCCAGCCTACCATGGTCCAAGACGGTTCCATCTGTCCATCCTGGACGGGATATCGCCTTCCTGGCTGGGAGAAATACTGACTTAGCACTAGGGTACCCAAAAGAAGCTGCCAGGGAGATACACGGCAAAAAAAGGGGCGCTATCCGGCAAGAATTCGGACAATGTGAGGTGGACCTGCATCTTCCGAAGGCTCTGCTCCAAGCTGAACAAGGTGTACGGTACCGCTGCCATGCCTTGTTGGGGCGAGGCCCAGAAGGAACTGAGTCTGCCGTCGTGACTGGAGAGGAGTTTCAGATTCGGAATATTCGCTGCCACTGCATCATTGGCATCAACCCTCATGAAAGACTTGAGAAGCAGGTGGTTGTGGTATCGTTGCAGTTTAAAGACCCTGGAGCGCATTTTCTAGACATGTATCAGGAGATGACGAGAGTCGTGGCCGAGGTATGAGCGATCTATCGCCCAGGAGAACACAAACTAATCAATAAGGCGCTCCTAGGAAGTCGATAAAACCATGTCTCAGTCGGTAGAGGCTTTAGACACGCCTGTTGCTCCCATGGTGACAGTGCGGGCCGAGAAGCTCAATGCTTTAGCATTCGCAGATGGAACTGGCGTGGAGATGCGTCGCACTCGAAGTTTCTTTACAGATGAAATCTAAAATAGCTTTACATAGACATAACATGCAGTATCGGGGGTAGGAAATTTCTTACAATAACCCGGACATTGAGTGGTAAAAATGCTCTGCTTTCTATTCAAATTATATCCCTTAACCCTGCACGTCCCGCATCACAACCGCCAATTTGCCCCGAACTGGTACATTCTCTTTCCTCTCCATGTCCGGAAAGCCAGTAAGATTTACTCCCTTTTTGAAAATCAGACAATGCGACGATCCCCCATAGTGGAACATCCCCAGCTGGTCCCCTTTTCTCACGTATTCCCCTTCTTTGACTGAGATCTCGCATGTGGATACCTCCACCATGCCTATGGCAAGGAATGCCAGTAGGCCAATATCCGGGTTGTCCGCCTCGATTATTATCACGGCCCGCGTCGCCATGGCGGCCAGATATGTTTGATAGCTGATCGTAACTCCCACAGTGTGATCGGGAGGATTCATATCGATGGGGGCCGGGCTGGAGTAATACGTGCCGTTCAGTAGATACGTCTTAGAGATCCTTCCGGAAACAGGAGCATGCCACCGGTGATAACTGAACGAGTCTAGATAGCCCTGGTAGACAGTAGCCCCTACAAACAGATCGCCAACATTGTTCCCCAGCATATCGGAAAGTGAGTAGTTCTGTCCTTTGATCCAGAATGCATCGCGGGCTTTGACATTCCGCGCCACAGTAAAGGGCCGGGACTCGCATGCATTGGCAATAATGGTGTCATCCTCCGGGGAAGCGACGGGCCGGATATTTCCTTTGAATTCGCGGGTGAAGAATGCGTCCCAAGACTGGAAGCCATAGCAGGTGGCATTGGGGTCGCATACGTACATCTCGTCGAATCTATAGGATGTGCCACCAATATTTGCCGTGGCCGTTAACTGGGCCAGCGCAGGAGGGCTGAACCAACCAGTCGACGAAGTATTAAGGACCGCAGTTGATTCCGCCGATGATAAAAACTCCCCCCATGCATCGAGGATCTTTTTGATCATCGAGTTCACCTCGGGATCAATGAAAGCGGCGTAGCCACTCACGGTCGGAATGACATATTGAAGAATCCCCAGAATGGGAGCACCGGCATGATCCTCGGCCCACGGAGGCGCGTGTGTAATAATGTGGTTCATAACGCGGAGCATCGTATAGCAGTCTTGGATTTCATGACCGGGCATTCTGCTATGCGCTTGCTGGAGCATTGATTGGAGGAGCATATAGATGCGTTGGTTGGCTTCGATAAGATGCTGGAATTCCTGTAATACCGGGTGGAGATCGTGACGGTCCTGGTCTACCTCCTTGACCAGTTTTGAGAGCCAGGTGGTGCTGGCTGGGCAGACTTGATCTGGAGCAGCGGGTGTGTGCCTACCCAGTCTGTTCCAGGGTTAATATCAGAATACTTACATAACTGTTAACCCTACGCCCGGACCAAATAAACATACCTCTAAAGTGAACTGTCATTAGCTGCTTTGAACTGGCGGCATGATCATATGTGAATATGCCGTACTTACCCGGCTCAAGAAAGCAAAGCTGGCCGAAATCATCTGTATTCTGTTATCATCGCTGCAAAGTAGACATATGAGTCTTTCTCATTCATCTCCGTACTGTACCAAGAGCTACATCTGAACCCTGTGGGCAAGATTTGAGCGTCTCTTAGACTTCTCTAAGGCTTGTCCTCACAATGGCCGGTTTAATGAGAAACAGAGAGAGAGAGAAAAAAAAAAAAAAAAACCGAGAAGTCGGCTAGGCAGGGGGATTTTGGTAAATCCACCAGCGAGGGGGTAAACATAGGCCCTAGTTCTGGCCTCCCACTGTGTCCAGGAATGCTAGAATGCTTCAATTACTCTGACTGGCATCCCAACAGTTGTGCTGGATGCTAGTCAATGAATAATACTATTCTTTCATTTCCATTTTTAAATGGTGAGATAGATGCATGGGAATTATTTAGAATTAAATTTAATACATTAGTCACATATGGACAATTTCTTGAGATGACTTTGGTCCGGGACGGCGACTCCTACATCATGTAGGGGGAGGGATACATTCCTTGCGCTGCCAATTGCTTCTCACGTCTCACCCTTTGGATGAACCACAACCTGCAAGGATCCCATAGCAAACACAGACAGGGGACAACCCAGATCCAAGGCACTCATCCGCATAGTTCGCCTTATCTTGTTGCGAATCTGGTCGGCTAGTTTACAACAACAATGGATGCCCTATAACCCAACTGCTCTACTCCGTCCGGGAAATATCTGCTGTGTATATAGGCATCCGCAATCAGGGCCCGAAATTGGTAACCATTACCGCTTCGGGAAAGGTGGCCATGAACTTGTCAACCCTACGCTGGGGACCTTAAAAACATGAATTTTTAGCCTTCTAAAGAAATTTAATATTTGAATCTGCATTAATCGAAGCCCACGTGATGCAAAACACAATGTGTATTCTATGGCATGAGTTGGCAGACGGGGCAGCCTACAAAGCTACACATCTCAGCTGGCTCTTCAACCAGCGTTCCCCAGCCCGGTTTCCACAGGGAATAGTGAATCCCACCAATGAGAATGATATTATCGCAGCAATTAAACTTGCATTATAATGTAATTGCTGTATTGCTGTTTAAGCAGGGGACTATTCTTTTCGTGTCTGGGGTATACAGGATCACTCTATCCTGCTAGACTTAGGTAACTTTAAGGTCTTAGAAGTCGATGAAGCAGCTTGTATTGTAGAGGTATCTATAAGCATTATAAGTGAAGAGCTTAATGATGTGCTGATTGAGAAGCATAGGCTTATGTTTCCCAGGGGTTATTGCCGAGATGTCGGCCTTGGAGGGTTTCTACTGCAGGGTGAAAAGGGTTGGAATTATTGGGTATGTTGCATTTCTATGATATTAATCAGTTCTCTAATCCTTTCCCACTCTCAGAATTGGGACTGGGCATGCGAAAGCGTGGAAGCGATCAAGGCCGTCACCATGCAAGGACAAACCGTTTTTTGCAACACACAACAGAATGCCGATCTATACTGGGCAGCTCGAGGCGCAGGGCTAGGTATGTTATCCTCATCTCGTGCGCTTTCTGTACTGGCAATTGTTCTTAGGCTAAAGGAGATGATTTACGCATTCCCTGCAGTTATAATGGAATTCCACCTGTGATTAATTCCTTACCCGAAAAACGGATTCCAGTCATCAGGCTATATCTATCCATGTAGTTGGTACACGTGAAGCATTTTCCTGGGAACTTGAAATTACCCCGACGGTTGATATAGATACTGAAATCACAATTGTGACCAGGTCTATAGAAGGTCAAGAAGACGTTTTGTGTGTGTCTCTATTTCGTCTGCATCAAGACTACGCCTGAAGAAGCCGAGGCGGCTCTGCACTATATTCACACGTGGCAAGGACGGCCGTCCGGCGTGCTGACTGAGTGGTATTGTTGAGAAGACAGCCTATATAACAAACAGGCCAAGGTAAATCTGAAGGGTCCATGGTACCACACCAATAAAACCTATATCTATAATGATGCTGACGTGGGCACAGTGTTAGATGTGTTCCTGGGTCTGCCTCGGGGCAAATTGTTCGCATTCTGGTTGGCTATAAACCCATGGAGTAGGCGCCAGCTGCCTGATATGGCCTTGAGTATGTGGTCAGGTCCCTACTTTATAATTTATGCGGTATCTAAGGATATGAGGGATGATGTGTAATACTAGTCCTGGGTGCATAAGGTTATGAAAAGCATTGGAAATTATTTAGTTAGCACATATCTTAGAGATTCAGATCTCTAGAAGGAGAATTAGCGTTACTCGGATAGCAACCATGCCAGATACTTGGAGATATGTGATAAGTGGGATCCTAAAGGTGTTATGTGTCGGTATCAGCCCAGTCGCGATGAACTCTAGACCAGCAACTCGTTGAGATTGTCTTAGTTGATGCGGAATTCGAAACTTCCAACAGACGGTCTTTTAACTTTCAATATTTATAATTTAATAATAGGTCGTCAGCAAGCCTCCTCACTAACGTATCTTCCAAAAATAGAATAGGATCAAGAATGTTGCAGTATTTCTTAAGTGCCCGAGAGGCGACAGGCTATATATCTATTTAAATTTGTGTATAGGGCTACAAATTTCATCCATATAGTATATTTGCTACACTATAGCGGCTTCGCTGTAATCTATTGGGAACAGTCTGCTGTCTTATTCGCCCACACCTCCCACTATTTGCACACTGCCACGGGAAGTTTCTCCAAATCAAATGCATAAGAAATGAGCCCTTTCCCGTATGCTGCCGACGATCTTATATCACATTCTCTTCCTCATTATTTCTCAGATGCATGGATGATTTCCCCTCTAAGAAACAAAGTGACAGCAGCGACGCAACAACGCAGACACACGCTATAGTGCCCGGTGAGTATGTCCCATAGACAATCGGGAGATGGTACAGAGCAATATGAACTTACCACAAACGGAATTCATCAGGTGATACCCAAAGTGGTCCGCCAGAATTCCAGACAAGTATGGCCCAACTAGTAACCCCGTCATGAAACTGATATTGGAAAGTGAGTAGCAACGTGCATAGCCTCCATGGGGGCCAAAAATGCCAGGAGTTTTTGCCTCGAGGTCATCAACGGTGCCTGTTTCCCTCCAGGCGTAATTAGCCGTGTCATCCTGGGAACGAGAAATAGAGTCTCTCACAAGTAAGCTCAACCAAACCAACACAGGCAAGGAGAGGCTGAACACATCCAATGGCAACAATCACCATAGCATATGTAAGCTTAGCGGTATCTTCGGAGACAGCCCACGGAAATTGCCTTTGATCCGCGGCTCCAAGAAGCCAAAGCAAAGGGGCCAACAGTAGAAACCCAACCCCGGTGGGCAGTCGTGTTCCCAATTTGTCTCGAACCAATCCGCTAATGGGACCGAGCAGGATATTCGGTGCTTGTTGTGCAGTAAGTATTAGGCCAGCTGGCAAACTTCCCCACCCGAATGTCCTCTTCACATGGGTTGGAATCGTAGTACTATAGCTGGCAAGAAGAGACGAGTGTGTGATGTAACATCCGAGGCTGACAATCACTCTGCGCTGGCTCAAAACAATCCTGTAGAAGGATGGAATTGAGACGCTCTCTCTGTTCACGTTATCGCATCTATACCATGTAGAACTGTATGACTGAGTGGGTGTGCGAGAGAGAAGGCTGGTGGTGGTGTCATTTACTCCTTCTTGTTCCGTCCGGAGCTGCTGTGTCGGATCTCCGGGAGCACAACATCCCTCGGCTTCCTTCTTTGGCTTCTCAATCATCACGAACCTCATTATAATATTTGACATAATAATGAGTAATAAAACTCCCCAGGTTGCCGAGTACCCGGCCAAGTCAAACAGGACTCCAGCTAGTGCTGGGCCAGAGAGAGAGCCAGCGCTCACAAAGCTGCTCACTAAGCCTACTGTCTTCCCTATATTCTTGGCATCAATTGATTCTCTAAGTGTAGTGAATCCCATAATCCATGTTGCCGTGGCACCGGTAGCTTGCAGAACTCGGCCTATATAAATATACGGCACTGGATCTAGAGTTAGCGGTAAATTTGTCTTTATATTGTGCTCACCATTCTTATGTACATTTAGTAGCTGCAGCGAGCGTTGCTGTACCCGCAAACGCGATGGTCTGTCCCAATACAAGGGGGATCTTTCGTGATTTGACTCTATCAGCCAGGTGCCCGATAACGATACCGGATGTGACAGCCACAGCCCCGTACACTGTGAGAACTTGGTAGGTAATGCGCTGAATATCGCAGGGGTCTATATGGATCCGGGTCTCGAGAATGTATGGAAGAATAGGGACGATGAAACCAAATATAAATGTTTCTAAGGCAAGATATCAAGGGTTCAGGCGAGTCAGTATTCAGGTTTTAACACGTGAATTCTCTCCGCTAGCTCGGGAAGCATCAAATGAATTACCTTCAAAGAGGGCAGTGATGATGCACGCTGTGATGAAAGTTGTGGAAGACCGCCAGCTATACCCCCGGGCCGTCTGCTCTACCACACTAGAGGGCATATTTGGCATCGCTTTGGTACGCCAGATATTGCAGGGATATTCAAAGACAAGTCTAGGATAAGAGAGAGAGAGAGAGATTTAATCATACGGAATGAGAAACAGACCCCAGGGTTCCAATAGTGAGCGCAAGGGCCTAGGATAACTGTGCTGTATGGAGGATCTCGTTCGTTTGGGCTGCACTGTCAAATGGCTTCTGTATCGGCTAGAGTCTGCAGCTCTAGTAATATACTGAATAAACGCAAATAGTTTGCACTTATCTTTCGGTTTCCTTATGTTTCACTCTCTCAATACCACGAGTAATAATTAAAATCAAACGAAAACGGCACATTGTTTCTACCAATAGATTAACTGCATCAGGTTGTGGCATGGGTGCGAAGCGTTCTCCTAGGCAGAGTGTTACAGGTGGGGCAGGAGAAGGCGCCCTTCTGTTTGCGGCTGCTCAGCCTTTCTGCAGTCATACACTCCTCCCTCTATTAACATGCTATTCAGTGTATATTAAAACCACTACAATAATGTATGTTACATCCAGTGTTAAATGTCACATAATTATACAGCAGCCTCAGCAGGGTCTGATTGCTTACTAGTAAGAATGAATAGCTGAACAGCAGTTTTAAGAGAGTTTAATTTGGTCTATGGCCCAAGCATAATGCCAGACCCTTTACCTGCAGCTTTCACCAAGGGTTCCAGATCGCATCGCTCTTGATTCATCTTGGTCCTTCTACATACAGATTATCATTCCCCAGTATCACCACTCAATAAACCTCTTCCACCGTATAAACGAATCAGCCCTCTCTGCCGTGGATGATGGACCTCCGCTGAAAGTGATCGCGGCTGACTGAACAGGGTCGTATACTGGACATCCGCTGACGATATGAAATCTACCGTGACTCTGGCTGGACAGGCTGGGAGCCACCGTTGGAGCCGGCTTGAGGAGGAGACTGGCTTGAGCTGGAGAAGCTATTGGCTCAACCATTTCTCTGCGGTTCACATATCAAAAGCAGCAATATGACAGAGATTTGGCACTTAGCTTACTGGGAGAGTTCTTTGTGATAAAGTAGGTGCAGGTACCCAGGAGAGCGACTTTAAATAGGCCTCCCATTCCACCGCAAAGACCGTAGGGATACCGAGGGACGAAACCCCGGAAGAAGGTCCGCCGGGACGAGCGATAGCCACGCAGTACAAAAGAGCTCATATTGTCTAATGAGATGGAAGAAGATAGATGAGAGACATGATAGAGTTAAAAATTGTTTTGACTGAATTATTGAACAGAACTGGTGGCGGCCAGCCACCTGGGCGTGTTTAGTAGCTTCCGGGACAAGACCGAAGTTCCAATTTCCCCACTCACATCCACCGAGGCCGGGTTCTGTCCATGGTTCACGGCTGTCTGCAACTCATTGTCGTTATGCATAAACAAGCAATGCTAGAACCGAGCCATGAAATAGAAAAGGGGATAGCACCCATTTCTGCTAGGATTGGCTTTATACCAGTAGCTATGAAGCTATTTCAAAAGGTATCTGGTTGAAGGTCTTCTAGCCGCGCGCGTTGGTAATTGGCTAAGGAATCAAACTGGTCGATATGATTGTTGACAGTACTGGTTAAATCGCTTAGGAAGCGACCCTACTCGCGCTTGAGCACTCTACAATACCCAACATCAAGAGATTGTAGCAGTTACAGAGCATACACAGGCATTCAAGGCGATATCAATAGCGTCACTGGCGCGCGCATAGAAAGCAGAGAAAAAACAAGCTAGGATGGAGGGAACGAGCCGGTTCAGTTCGCCTATCTGAACATGCATCTATCAATGAGGAACGGATGAGGGTGCGTATCAACATGCTGTGACTCACCAGTGGCGCGGTCTTGTAATGTGGGGAGCTGTACATGGTATAGCCTCGCTGCAGCGCAGAGAGACTTGAACCAGCTGATAAGATCTTGCCCTCCTGATAGGCCAATTTCTGCCTGACGGATTGGTGGCACGGTTGATGGCTGAAGAAAAGGGTACTGAGACAGAGACGCGATTTTTGACGAGTGTCTGAGTTAACCGGGATATACTGCCTTGGATTATTATTCCACGGTTCAGTTTTAGCATTGGTTTTTTGCGTCTATGCTCAACGTATCCATAATGCCCGGGAAAAACAGTAAGCTCGGAATTTCCAATCCCAAGGCAGGGTCCTAAACTGTGAGTCTGATGGCAAGCACATAGCATGAGGAGGGAGGTGGAAAAGGAACAAAACTAGGTGGAAGAAATGGAAAGAAATACTTACTAAAGCATCCAAGTCAAAACTTAGAGGACTGTCTGTCCCCATATTCAGCGACTCAACCGAGTCCTACGGCGGACTGGCTGCGTGAGCGGCGTGCAGCAAGGAATAACATTTCTTCAGGCTTTCTTTGATGGTCTCGTAAATGGCGGGTTGGATCGGCTGGCCTGACTCCATTGCACGGATCTGACTCAAGATGGCGGACAGGAAGTTGTATCGCTTAAGACTGGGATTTCCGAGGGCGATAATCTGCAGCAGCTGCTCTTGAATGGTTGTAAGCTCTGGATCAAGGGCTCTCGATGGGCCTCGGCCATTTTATCCTGAGAATCGGCGATAAATGGGGGAGAAGATCCCACGGGCCGTGTTGAAGCCTCCTCTTCAAGTTGTGTGACAATTTCCAACCCCAGGGAGGTGATCACATCAAAACTCAAGGCACCTTTGAACGAACCTCTTCCTACAATGGTCAGGTGAGAGAGGTCATCCAAGGTGTCTGACGGTAAATTGAGATGATTGGCATATGATGCAACCACGATGCAGGACTCCAGACACACCTTCCGGGACAGGTAGAATCGTGGGTCTCTACGAGCTTGGATCATGAACGGCCGATGCAGGAACAAGATATATCGACGTAGGTATGTGTCTAGAAACCGGAGATGGAAGTCAGCCATGCCCGGAGTGCGGCCCCCATGCCTTGACTGATTTTGACTGGTGTAGAACAAGGCGGCAATATCGCGACACGCCGATCGCAATTCATTTCCCAACCTCAATGCGTTTTCGTATGACAGTTCCTGGCAGTGTTGGTTGTTCACAAGCTGGACTGCTTCTACTCGCACCTGAAGCGACTTGAGCAGCAKAGTCTGAATGGACGAGTCGGTAAAGTGCTGGTTCAACTGCGGGGTGGGAAGCGTCTCAGTCTCGGGGTCGAACTGCTCGTCATTCAAGTTTGACGACGCAGTGCGGTCAAACTCTGGTAGGGAGAACGGTAATGGCATGGCGGCATCCAGCGATGACAGTAAAGTCAATTCTAGCACCGTCGCCCAGAGTCGGGCTCGCATTTCGGACTGGTAAACGGACAGCGCGGGAAAGAGGTCAGGAGAGCGGTGTAGTCCCATCGCCATGGCCATATGCAGCACGGACGGTGCGGAGAGCCAGCTCGTGCCTGGAAGGCTGTTTGTCTGGCGGGCCAGCAATAGGAGACAACCGACTTGCAGGCCATCCAGATTGACGGTCGACTTTTCCGATGGTCCGACTAGCCACCATTGTGCAGCATGGATCCACGTGTGTGCGAGACGGCGGAGATGCACCCTATTGTTTCGATCTGGGTAGAACGTAGTACCCAGGGCGAGAATCAAGACCAGCTTCATCAGAAAATGGGTCGGGGTGGACTGCGGCTGGGTCCACAACTGACGATACTCCTTCCAGAAGGATGGGACATGAATAACACGGTAGATAAGCTCGAAAGTGCGGAAATAAGCATTGACCAGAACATCACACACTGCCTGGGCCGGGAGCGTGCCCAGCAAGTCCGGAACTGGATGATTGAGTCGGACCGACTCTTGGTCCTTGATGGCCTGGCGTAGTTGCCGACAGTCGAAGATGCTGGCGAATTCCGATCTGGTATCCACATCCTGCAGCGACGGTTCTACTTCTTTGGTGTCGAATTTGCCCAGGACTTGAAACTGGTGATTCAACATTCGTCAGCGACAAGGCTTTTGTAGACTGAGGGAAGTAAATCCGATATACCGTACTTTCTCGGCGGTATGCAGCCAGTGACTGGGGCCAAAAAGCTTCGTCTTGTCGGGGGCGATACGCAGACGAGGAAGGGTAACTGGTATGGCCCATCCGTTTGCCGAAGGACTGGGACGAGATGCATCAGACAGCTGTTGTTCGGCCCCGAGAACCAGGTCGTGAAGGTGGCGCAGAGCCTGAGTTTGAGCGACGCTGGGATTGGGACTGGTCGTCCCTCGAGAGAGCTGAGGGCCGGGAAGCTGTTCTTCCAAACGCCGAACACGACTTTGCAGATCCTGGATGATCTTATTTTGATACTGATTCTGGTCCTGAGGCTGCGATGGCGGTGCGAGTGCAGGTGGACGGCTCTGGGTCTGCGGGTCAACGACTAGGGAAAGAGGCGTATTTCTCTCCGGCACGGAAGAAGCCGTGAGCCTGGAGACTTCGTCTACGGAGGGGCTGCTGCCAGCGACCGCTGCGCGGTAGAAGCACTGCAGTGAGGTTCTCGCTCACATGGGCCACAAGGAAATTCCTGGTCACAACGGACTTTGCGACGACGACACGGGTCACAGGACTTGGGGGGCCGGCGACGTTTGCGTGGTGGAGAAGTGGTCAGCGAGGGGTTGTGGTTGTCCTGATCCTGCGGCATAATCGCTAAGGGGGGGGTATGCGATAGGAAGAGCAAAGGGGATACCGCAAGTGAGGTGAGGCCAGATGTCAGATGAAGCCGAGTAATGAGGGGCGAAGGTGCCAAAATACAGTCGGGTCCGAGCGGGGGCCGACCTTTATCATCAAGCTGGTCCCATTAACTCCAGAAACCCTAAACTCCGGTGAAATGGCCGAGAACTGTCAGCAAGGGTCGCCAGAAGAAGCTGTCTTTTAAAAAGGTATCGTGGAAATCCATTACCATAGGTGCCATGCCGGTTCACGGTCATCTAGGCAGCCACGGTCTGATTGATCTCGCTCCCGCTGCTCACCAACACGCTTCTCATTCACCATGTCGGATGCTCGTTCGGAGAAAGGCCCCGACGAGCGTGTTGCAGAGGCCCCAAAAGCCGCACCGACACCTGCAAGGGTCCCCGACGGTGGCCTCCAGGCCTGGCTGACAGTCGCTGGCGCATCAGTCGCTCTGTTTGTCTCATTCGGCTGGGTCAACTGTATTGGTCTCTTCCAGGCTGAGTACGAAACGAACCAGTTGAAGGACTATTCGAGCTCGGATGTATCTTGGATCACGTCTATGGAATGTATGTTACAGTGCAATATACTCGCGTTCTCCTCTCGACGAGCTGACAACTCCAGTTTTCTTCATGCTTTTCACTTCCCCCGTGGCGGGCAAGCTGTTCGACAGCTATGGTCCGCGTTTGCCTATTGCGATCGGATTCGGTGTTGCATGTCTTTGGACTGATGATGGCCAGTCTCTCCCACAAATATTATCAGTTCATGCTGAGCCAGTCTGTGGTGTCTGGAATCGGTTCTTCGCTGATCTTCACCCCGGCGATGAGTGCAGTAAGTTTCAAAAGGAACCAATCCCCGCTGGAAAAAAGAGCAGCCCCCCTAACCTTGTTCCCGAAAAATTCAGCCCCAGACCTGGTTCCGCCAAAAGCGCGGGATCGTTGGTAGTTTGACGGTGGCAGGATCGTCATTGGGCGGCGTCATTTTCCCGCTGATGGTACAGCATCTGCTGCCGCAGGCGGGCTTTGGCTGGACGATGCGCATCTGCGCCTTTCTGATCCTGGGCCTGCTGGTCATCGCTAATGTCACCATCTTCTCCAATCTCCGACATGCACCACATCCGTTTTCTGTGATGCATTATCTCGGGCCGTTGCGGGAGCTTAACTTCGGCATCCTGTGTACGGCTAGCTTTTTCATGTACTGTGAGTACAGCACACCATACCGAAGACACGTCGCATCATTACTCACCAGTCGTTCCTTTTAGGGAGACTGTTCATTCCATTTGACTATATCGTCGTGGAAGCCATTCACTACGGCATGTCGTCGCACATGGCGTGGTCATTAGTTCCGATTCTCAATGGCGCCAGTTTCTTCGGTCGTACAGTACCGAACTATATCGCGGACAAAGTCGGCCGCTTCAACGTGATGCTCGTCATGACCTCGCTATCGGCTACCCTGGTGTTGGCATTGTGGCTTCCTGCCCGAGGCAATGGCGCGCTCATCACGTTTGCGGCCTTGTTTGGCATCACCTCAGGTGCGATCATCGGCCTAGGACCCGTGCTGATTGTCTCCATCTCACCAATGAGCGAGTTGGGTTATCGGATGGGTACTGTCTTGGCTTTTGCTGCGGTGGGAACCTTGACCAGTCCGCCTATTGGGGGCGCGATTGCCGCCGACGGTGGGGGCCGCTACACCTATACGTGTGTCTTTTCAGGCGTGAGCTTGATTCTGGGCATCGTCGGCCTCGCGGCTCTACGCGTGCGGCTTTCTGGATGGGGGCTTCCTACGAAGGTCTAAGTGACGGGCGTGTAGCTACAAACTGAGTAAGACGCCAGTGGATATCAACCCGTAAATTGCGGGGAACGTGCGAGCTTGATTCTATCAATTGACCGTTTTACGACGTTGGAGACGTAGTATGTAATTGAACTATTTCAGTACACCAAACGCGTGTCAGACGCGAGAAAAAGGCGGCTTACTCTGTGGATTATGGTGAACAGTGCATTATTCTGCCTGACCCCACCACAGCAGCAACCCCGCACTGGTCTAGGTATTCGTCCAGGTAGCCAGTGTGCCACGGTAGTTATCCATACCTCAAGCAGAAATATATATAAGTGTGTATATAACATATATACTAATGTGGGGACCAAACTGTAAGTAGAGACGACTGGCTGACCACAAATTCCAAGCTTTAGGTGTTTGCCGAGGGTAATTACCATGTCCCATCCACCACCTGCATCGCTTCAGGCGGCCTGCGCTCATCCGGACTCGCTATTCACCCTTTCAGAAGAGGATCTCCTTCGCCTGGTATATAAGGAGTTTCCCCAAGAGATCGACCGTCTCAAGAGAGCATACTCCCTTCGGCCGCGTCGTCCCTCAACCCCGCCCAACACGAGGTCGCCCTCGTACATCCTGTATCAAAAGGATTACGATGAGGTAAACCGGACGCTCGTAGCACTCTTGACCCTACGATGGATTCACACAGGACAATATGAGACCTTAGTTGGGTCCCAGTCTCCAGAGTGTCGCTTATCTATCTCCTCGTTCGAATGGATCCGGAAATTCTTCGCCCAAGTCATCAAGAGCCCGAACGACCTCTACATCCTCATCACCTCCGTCGTCATTAATGATCTAGGCAAGGATCCACAGCTCGCAACGGATTGCTGCGCCCTAACAGGGAAAGACATCTCTACTCTCAACCACGACGCCGTCCTCCTCAACGCCTGCACGGCCGCACCGAGCCTCATCCCGGCGCTGGCTCGCTTCTCCGCCCCGGAAGACAGGGACAATCTCATCAGTGGGATCGAAATTGGCGCATCGTTCAACTTTGGCCAGCTGGCACAGGCAGAAAATGCTCCCGCCTGCCTGTCCGTTTTCCAGACGATGAAGGCTCCTCGCCACCACCACAACTTCCAGCTCCACTTCATGGAGCAGCTACTTGATGTTGCTGGCGCGGCAGGTCACCTGGACTGGACCTGTTCCAAAACACTCATCCAGCCGGTTTTCAACGCGTATTGCGATGTTTACGATGCCTGCGAAGGCGTCATGGCTGGCACACTCGATGTGCGCAGTGGATATGACCTTGTCTTGGCTCGACGGGCAGATCGACTCCATGGCACGGGCTTCCGCTTGCTTCATGTGGAGGAGGATAGAGAAGACCGTGCCCTGATGCGGGTGTTATGCATGGGGGGCGTGACGTCGCTGGACACAGCGCAGCGCTATGAAGCCGCATGGAGGACTCTCAGCAACGCGACCCGGGAGGCGCTGGTAAACGGCCTTAATGTTGTTGGCTCGAAGGATCAACCGGCCGTCCAGCCGACGTATATGCCGGCGTTGCTTGGCAGCGTCCACGATGACCAGCGAGCGTTGACATGTGTATTGGAGTATCTTGCTCGGGTCCTGGGTGCGCCGAAGAATCTGAGAGATTCCACGCCAGTGGTTGTTGAGAGGAGTGTTTTAGGCGTGCTGAAGCAGTACTTTGAGAACGGAGATTTTGACCCTACTATTCTTGAAAGGGTTGATGTACCGGATGCTGTGGTCGCTCTGTAACTGATGCGATAGCTCTTATACGCGATCACCAACTATTATATACCTTTAAATGCATAGTTTTAGAGCATGAATATATATTCTTGAAGCGCGGTCTAGTTTAAAGCCTCCATGACGCTGCATTTACCCTTTGCTTTCATTTCCTGTGCTGGATCTAGACTCTAGGTGCTGACGTCTACATATAGCCAAGGCCTTGCTCTATATTTTGTTAAGTTGAAGTTTTCTGATTCAATCAGCCATCTTCGGCCTACGTCGCGTCATGTCCCATTCGCTTGTTATGCTTCATCTTCTTGTCAAAGTACACACTCATCCACTCCCGATTCCGGGGCATCAAACCCCAAGCCGTCATGTGCGTCTCTTCCTCCTCCGTCAGACCCAACCAAGCATAAAGATCTTGCCGGCGCTCGGCGATTTTCTTCTTTTTCGGGGGAGGATGAGCAGGTTCCAGGTCAAGGACGGCTCTTGCTCGCCTCGTTCCGTTTTTTTCCTCGACCACCTCCATCACCTGAGGTAGTTTGGGCTCCCTCTGGTCTTCGTTCCACTCGCTGTACCAATCCGGGTAGGACGAGACAGTCGCCTTTACCCTCGAGCCCACCCAGCAAGTATATGACCACGCCTCGTTTTCATCCTCGTAGTCGTCGCGTTTGCGGCTCATAACTGCCTTCCAAATCCTCCTCCCCATGTACGAATCATCACAGCCAACCTTGAAGGCGGATAGAATCGTCGCGGTGATCATCACCACTACTGTACATATTTGCGTGTATAGGGCCGACATGCCAATCGTGACGACGTGCACACCGAACGCGACCCAGCCCAAGAACCGGGTCGCCTGGTAGATGCCCGGATTTGGCACATCCGGGTTGGTCGTAAACAGTGATTGGATCAGATACGCGGGCGCAGCAATCGTGACAGCTTTCGAGTCGTCGGTCACCACGATGACCTTGGCGATAGCGTACGGGTCCTTGGGCGCGACGGGAATGGCCATGTGTTGTTGGTGTTGCTGTGTGTCTTTCTCTCGGTCTTTCTCGAGAACCATCATCGCTTCGTCATATTTTTTCCGTTTCTGCGGATAGTTGTAGTCGCGCGCTTGCTGCTGCGCTCGACTGACGTTGGCATCGATCCCGGCGCGATTCTGCGCGACCAGGATACATCGCACAACCACAGACACTATCATCGCCATCACATTAGCAAACCCCCACCAGTCCGCCGTCAACACAGTCAAGGCAATAAGCATCCCGTGCACCGGCAGCGCCACCAGCAACCCGCCAACTAGGAACGACTTCCACCATGAGGGCCGTTGATGCTCAACAACCTCCCAGGTAATAATACTTCGCACCTGACGCAGTTCCTGCGTGCGCAGCCATCGCGAGAACCAGCCCGCCAGCTCGGTCGTCACGATCCCGGCGGAGATGTTGTACAGCGTGAAGCCAAACTGCTTGGACGTGAACCGGTTCCCCGCCACGACGAAGGCGCCGAGGAGAGGCAGGTAGTCAAGGTAGTGGCTCGGGACGAGCCGCCCCGTTGCGCGGTCCATCTCCTCCGCACCCAGCAACGTTACCAGGCCGAGCGCGTCGATGCGTAGACCTGTTCCCTCTGCCCAGGTGTTCAGGCGCTGGTGCCAGGGATACATGGCTGATTATGACCAAGACTGGCTACCAACCGGTAGTCATTGAATATATTGGTATTAGTATCATGAAGAGAGGGGCTGCAAAGGCCGTTTAATAATCGGTCATATCTGCCATCTGCAACCTCTGCCAGCCTTGGCCTTTTTTCCTTTTTCTGGGGAGAGGTGGGGGTAGACCAGAAAAACTGTTTCGGAAGGAATTTAACAATAACTGTTTTGCGCAGGATAATGAGGAGATCCCTGAGCGTCTTGCAGACGTACGTAGAGGTACATACTCATGCAGGTAGACATTCCATGTGTCTAAGTACCTTAGGAGATTACAGCCTTTCCTTGAGCCGGGCTCTGTCAGCTTTCGGCTGCGATGAGAAATAATCGGGCTGATTAGAAATAATCAGGCTGAATTAGACGCCGCTCGAGCCTCGACGCCAGTCCCGAGCAGTATTAGCCTGCGGCCCCCAAAAATCCTCAGTAAAACTAAAACAGTCGTCAGCCGTGAATCTTACCTTTTGAGACATGTCTCACAGCGATCCCTGCCAAAACCAGAGAAGACAAGCTCAAAAGCAAAGACACGGTGAAAGGAACAGACAAAATCGGGACGACGATTGTGCCCTCTGTTCTCAAAGGACTCAAATAAGGAAAAATGAGGTGATTCCATTTCAATGCCGCAGACATTCTTCACGATCATTAGTTTAATTGGAATAAGGACATTAAAACGCCCTCTAACATCGGTAACTCTGTCCCAGGGCCCCCCCTTCTTCCCCTAACTACTTTGAGTACTTCACTCTGACGTGTGAGCGAACTGCATAATATATGTCACATAAACTCAGTCCACAAGTACGGCGCCAGATTGGCAGTAACTGACTCGTTGCCAGACCAACCAGCAGCGAGAGACGTCGTTATGGAGGGTAAGGGTCAAAGGTTGAATACGAGGGCTGAGGCTTAGCGGGACGACACGGGACGTGCCTTGTGCGGTTCCAGACCCCCTTTTACGCCCAATGCTCCATAACAATCGATTATATCCGCAGAATAATTTGGGGAACTGGTACGCGATTTCATTAGGCGCGTCCAGATTCCTGTCAGATCACTGTATGTATTGCGCTGATTGGGTGTTGAAATGATTCTGAAAATATCATTTACCAAAGTTGGAAACTGACCACCGAACTAAGCGTTTTCGTTAGCTAGCTGTGAAAGAGGAGTCCGATTATTAATTTCCACAATTGCGCACGAGGCCAAGCCAGCCTTGTGTGACGGTCAGCTCTCTTCAGGCGATGTTGAATGTTATAAGCCGGCGATGCTCACCACTAAAAAGTACTCAGTAGGAAGGTAATAACGCTCCATAACAGGGGTGCAAAAGGAGGAATCATGGAAAAGACAATGGCGGCATCTTCGCAGTCTCCCATCGCCAACGGGCAACACCAGCACCACCGTGACGATAGCCATTTCCATCTCCCCTTCATGAAAACCAACAGGGCAAAGCACCATCTCGCCACGCAGTACAATGGCAAACGGTCGATGAGAAAGCGATTCCAGCGACCAGCCATAACCGCAGACCAGCTTGATAATCGCATGCGAGAGCTGGAAGATGGCCGCGGCGTCTACAGAAAGCGACGGTATCGAAATCCTGCTGGCG